GGCAGTTTGTTAAGGAAATGTGTGCTGCATCACAACAACAAGTTCTGTAGTCTCACCCATGTGGCCGGTTTTATCTGTAGAGACTGCCCATTCATTTTTTTTTGGGGGGGGGTTGCCTCAGAGGTGTGGAGGGGAGCACATTCATGTCGGCTGAAGCTCTTCTCTTATTCTCCCAGCGGAATTCAAAGGAGGTCGCTTTAAACAAAGGTCTCCTGGTCCGTGTGTATAAAGTGTGCTCTGTTCTACACAGTTTTCCAGTGTTTGACTGTAGTGTGTTCCAGGGGAAAGCAGGTAATTTCCCTTCTGTGTCTTCCAGCAGTGATCAGACTCCAGAAGTGTTCGGTAACTGTTGGCACCGCTGCCCCGGCACCACGAGGCCCGGACAAAGAGTCACAGAGAAACTCCAGAGTTTTTCCCCGTGCTCCTCAAAGCGCGGCGCATTTGGTCCTCATTTCCACAGCTCCCAGTCTCAAAACGTCTTTTATTTTATTTTAATCAGCCTCCTGCTGGTTTATAAACTTTATTACACACTGGCAGACCAAACGAACAGGCTTTATGGTCCAGTTTTCCATTAGTCTTGTTCAGAGCTGCGTAGGCTTCAAATAGTATGTTTTTCTGTTTGATCCTCAGCGCCTTTTTTTTTTTCTTTTTTCAAATTGTTGGTTAAGAAAAGCCTGTATTGTAGTAAAGTTGGAGAGTGCGGAGATAAAAGCCTGGAGTACAAAACAGCGCCACGGGCAGGAGAGCCTGCTGCCGCCTGGAAGAAGCTAAGAGTAACAAGAGCCCCCCCCCCCACTTGTAAAGTTTAAAGCACCCTCAGCAATTCAAATGAAAGTTTGCCTTCTGCAACACCTAAGCTCCTGCAGTCCATGCTGTCGTCCCGGTGTGACTTTTGACAGCCGGCAGCCAGGACTCTGTGGTGCCGGCTGGGGAGCCGTAAAGCAGCGCTTACAGGACTCCAGGCTGGAAAAGACGCCGCGGTAACCTACGGTCAGGTGGAAAACCCCACTGAAACCACTGCCGCTTGCTTGCAAGTAGACGTATTTCAGAAGTCCGAGAAAATAAGTTTCCAGGTGGCGGGGGGATTTAGTCCTTAGCCGACTGCTTGTTGGGGCAGAGCTCAGCAGCTCTGCCTCCAAAAGCTCCAAAATGCACCCATGTTGGTGATCTTATGTCAGACAGCCTCATGACCGTGTATAAAGAAATCCCCCCCCCACACACACACTTTGCTCTCAGTCCCAAACTAATGGTGAACTTTCCGCGCGGCCCTGGGGCGGTTTGACTGCTCACTTGCCGGCTGTCTGAGGGAACAGAGAAGCCCTGAATCCACGGTCAGTCAGCTGGATAAACCCAGAGCCATCCAAATATTGACTCTTCGCATTTGGCACGGAGAAAAGTTGTGAATGAAACACTTGAGTGTGTTTCCCCCCCCCCAATAGCTTTAAATCTATGCTAGAGTTTCCTTCAGAACTTGACAGAACTTGACAGAACTGTGAGTCATGTTTTCTAATTTCAAACCAGTCACAGAAAGACTCCAGCTGTGTCGTGCCACAGGTGGAGCTGCAGACAGTGGCTCCGTCTGGCTAAGGGCTGGGCTGCCCCCCCCCCCCCCCCAGGCCAAAGCGCTCAACAACTGAGCGTCGTGTTTCGACACAGGACAGTGGGTCTGACCCGTTTAGCTGTTGGCTTACTTTATTACCCAAACACTCGAGTTTCCGTTCTTCTACAGCCGGATGAGAAGAAGTGTCATGTTTCTATAGTGATTTCTATATTACTTGTATAATAAAAAACTAAAGAATAAGGGTTATACGGATCATTTAGCTGATTGTGCTTAAGTTAGCCTTTTTGGGCATTAAAAACATGAACTGGGCGCCGTGGTGTGATTGGAGCCTGCTGGATGGGATGAACTTTGTTTCATCATTTCTGCCGGCAGCATCGCCAAATTCAGGCGGCTCGAGCGGTAAATTGGAGGAGCAGCTTGCAGTGGTTTTCTGACACGTGGAGCCGTCTGATGACAGAAAGAGAAACGTCAACCGGAGCAGCTTCATCTGGCATTTCGCCGTACTGACATCGACTTTCCTCTCCTACAGAGGCCGCGTTATTAGACATGCTAAGAGGACACAGATGGAACCAGATGTCAGCATGTGAGTCTTAAATGAGTCGGTAGTGATGGCAACAGGGAGGACGGCGTGGATGGTCTTTTGTTAGAGATGGACATGTGTGTTTTGCGTGGCGAGGAAGGGGCCCCTGCTAGCGTCTTGCAGAGCAGACATACTGTCATCAGCAGATAGTTAGCTGGCAAGAACAATGGGGCTGGATCTGTCCCGTCTGTCAGTCAGTGCAGCATGCAATCATCCAGGAATGTCTTTCTTCTTCAGAGAGCGGAGAAAGAGGTGGAAACTGCTGCGATATAACAAGCCTGTAAGCTGGACTCGCCGTGGCTGGCGCCGGCTCAGGCCTCGCCGTCCGGTTTCCTCTGAAATTAAGCGATTCATCAGCGACATCAGTAACACAAGTGCAGTGAGCGATTGAGTCACAGAGGGTTTTTATGAGGGAAATGCCAAAAGCTTCATTCACTTGTTTCCTGTTGTTTATTTGAAACTTGTCATATTCTGCTTTGTGTGTACTTTTTTTTTCTGGCCTCGTCTGACAGAATTTTCTATACAGACATGGTTGAATATCTTTTGTAGACATCTTTTTTAAGCTGCTCTCTGCCGCACATTCAAACACCAAGACCTGTTTCCAGAACCCTCTGGGATCTTTCTGCTCTTTTTGTGGAGACATTTGCATGTTGAATGTAGAAGAGGCATCTTTTCCTCAGCGCTCCTGTGAGACTGACTCAGTAATTTGATGCTGCTTAGTTGGGAGATTGTGAAGGCCTAGGCCCAAGTTGTCTTGGTTCTTCTTTAAAGCTGATGACCAATCTTAACTTTGGCAGGCAGTGAATTTGGTTCTAACTGGTTTTAACTATCACAACGACTTCGATTTGATCTGAAACTTTTTAAAATAGATAAATAAACACTCTAAGCTGGGACGCCCAAACTTTTGCATGATGCTGGACTTGGAGCCGAGTGTCCTGTGCTTGAATCAGCTTCACTGCGTCTTCTCGCCTGCGGACACACTGAATATGTTATCTGTCTGTGAGGGGCTCTGGTTTAGATTGTGCTCAGCCATTCAGGAGATGCACAAGCGCATAACTGAATGCATCTCCATGACAACGACCTCCCTGACCCCGCGGGGTCGTGATAGCATGCGTAGACTGGCGAGCGCAGATGGTGCTCGATTGTAATCACAATGATTTCGATGATGTCATGCTTCAAGAAAAGGATTAATTCAGTTCAGTTTGGGTGTCTGCTCCTTCTCGGGCTGGCAGGACGTCATAAAAGAGCAACTCTGAGTTTACTGTGAGCCGATAACCAACGGAGCGGGGCGGAGAAATGCTGACACTTCACTAATGTTGCATGAAGAGTGTCTGCAAAGCAGCCCGAGGCTCAGAGGATCTACAGCTGTCGTCCCGCTCTGGATATCATGCATGTGGAAATTCCCCTCTATCTGTGCAAATTTGGGGTGAAAAATTGACCAATTTCTAGCCTTGCGCCCATTAAGTCTCAGGGCTCACACAACTGGTGGCATGACGCTTAACCCCGCAGAACGCGTCGGAATGGAAATGTGTGAAGAAGATCGATTACTTGAGAGAATGAGATTGATTTGGAGCGAGAGTGTTTTGTTGTGTTGAGCTGGTTTATTACCCGGCTTGTCTGTTGTCCCGTCAGACCACTCTGTCGGGATTGAAAGGGTCTGCTGGAGCGTGACATTGTCTGTATGCGTGTGTGTGTTGTGTGTGTGTGTGTGGAAGAGAAGGACCCGTCAAGGGTGAAGCTGGAGCTTCAGCTTGTCTGATTGATTCGTGGGATGATTACTGATGTAATCTGGCAGTCAACCAGGGCCTCAGATGGACCAGTACGCCCAAATGATGTTGCAGCCAATAAGAGTGTCTTTGACTCAGCAGAAAAAAAAAGGAAAATCCACCAGTTGATCAATTGAACAAATCATTTTGGCCACTGGCTGCAGCCACAAAGTTCTGGCATCGTTGATATGTGATTGTCTGTCGAGCCAATGGATCATATGATCACCTTTTGGCATAAAAGCACCACAGAATCACAGTTCACTTTTGTCTCGGCTCATGTGACTATATTATTGGATCTGGTTGCTTCAATGAAAAACTGTCTACACGAACAGTCTCAGATGGGAAGAACGGTGTTTGTCCACTTGCTGGCTGCTGTTCTTTTTGGGATTTTATGCATGTTCACATGACTTGGAAAAAAACTGTAAAACTGATACTGTACTGATAATACACACAACTGGACTCAAATGGGCTTAAGGTGCTCTGCACATGCCCCTCAGCTCCTATTCAGCCCAGAGAAGAAGAAGAAGCCGGTGAATGTGCTGAGTGACTGCATGGAACGATGTGTAATTTTGTTGTCTTTTTGTAAAAAAGTTGAAGTGTAAAACATTTAGTTTGATGAATAATTAGAGGCCCAACCTGTGCATGAATAAAGGCACTAAGAAGAACAATCCAGTTGATCTGTAGCCGTATCTCGACCTAAAAAACGGATTATTCTTTGGTATTGTTGTGGTCGGCTGTAAAAGTTCAGAATAGACTTTATCTCCCCCAGGACAGTGACGCCATTTAGATCAAACTGAAAGAATGTTGTCCAGCCGCTGTTGACTCGGCACCGGTTGACAAAGACACTGTAAAACTGTGGCAGTTACATGATACCAGCGCAGAGTCCAGAGCTGCCATCTGACGGCTCTCATGCAGCATATGCGCTAAAAGCTTTAGTCGCAAAATGAGCAGATTGTCATAAATCTTGCGTCCACTTGGCTGGTGCCCCTCCTCTGAAAACACTCCCATTATTGCCAGGGAGCCGGCTGAGTCGAACAGCTCGCTGCTTTTCTGTCCCGTGACAGATTTACGGCCCTTTTTTCGCACGCAGAGAATGAGTGGCGGGGCTCAAAAGGTGCGCCTGACCGGTGGCCAGCATCGACACAGCGTCTGGGCGCTCTCTCAAACAGCAAAACACTAGCAGACGGCCTCGTATCAAATTGATTTGGGGGCGGCTCTGGCCTGTAAAAGCGCGTTAAGGGCTTTGACTTAAGAAGCTTGGCCGTGTTTGACCTGAAATCCTCCACATCCCAACACCCTCCACCTCAAAGGATCGATGCAAAGCTGGAATGTTTGATCGACTGATTCCGAATTTTGTTAAAACGAGTCAGTTTCTATGAACACGTTGACTTCACTTATTCATGTGATATTACATGTTAGAATGCCCAAAGCTTAAAACCTTTTGCCATAATATTAACGGGTCTCGTACGGAATCTCACAGGCCTTTGTCTGTCCACGAGGACGTTTCAGGGTTAGAAGTAGATTGAATTATCCGAGCAGAAATTCAAGGAGACATTAGCTCTGTTGACAAAACCCAGCTGGTCCTCTTGTGGTGGGCTCTGACCGTCCATGCAGACAGAAAGGAATCTTCGGTTTGCTTCACAGAGCACTTCCACTTGCTCTTGTGTGCTTTCTCTTAAAATACCTGCTCTACTGTGTGCAGACTGGTGGCTGTGTGGGGTCTGAGCTGCGACTGGAGAGGCTGTCTGAGCCAGGCAGAGATAATGGGATAATAGCATGTGTACCAGATGAGTCACTTCACAGGAGCAGAAGGAACCAAAACCACAGCACTTCAAGAACCACTTTTACTCAGTGGCCTGTTTTAATTGGCACCGTTCCTTTGGTAAAAGACAGCAAAACTTATTTTTAGAAGGCGTTACTTTCGTCAGCTCTCTGCCTTTTGATAAATGCATCTGCTTTTAATTTGACAGAAGCTCCAACGGGGCGGCTAAAGACCAAAAAAGCGGTTGGATTCTGCTGTTCAAAAGAACGCCACAGTCACTGAATACAGCTAAAGAACGCAAGCAAACAGTCTCATTTAGGATTGTCCACGGCAAAGTGGGAAAGCGTCCAGCGGTTTGTTGAGTCATCCCTGTGGAAGTCAGGGCTGCTGTGCTGATAGAGAGAGGAACCATCCAGGTTGTGTGGGTGTTAACCTTTGTAAGTGCTCTCTTTGTCCGTGTGTGTCAGCGGCTCTATCAGCAATCCGTTGTAGAGGTATTTGTTCACGGAATTCCGTCTTTGTTTTCCCCCTTTTGAAAGGTAAAGTGCATGATTTTATTGATGAGTCGTTTTGGCCCTCCGTTCCACCATGGCCACATTCACATCCATCTGAAGCTGTACCTGCAGCTTTAACGGGGTTGCCATCGGCCTCCCACGCTGCTGCAAAAAAGCCATTTGGTTCATTAGCCCCTCTGCCAGAGTTTGACAGAAACGAGTTATCCAGATTTTTTAGAACACCAGAGGCCCCAAAGATGGTTTGATCCACTAAAGGTAGGAGCTGTAGGAGGCCACACCACAGGTGATGTCGACGGGGCACACCAGCATACTGTGCTGGGCTTGAAGTGGTTGATACTCCCTTCAAATTTAGCCGAGCATGGAACTGTATCCATTGAAATTAAGGTAAATTATCACAAACACACAGGAAGACACTTAAGCACACAAAATTCTGCCCTCCTCACCAAGTCCATCCAGTGTAACTGTACACCCCGACTGGCTGATGGCGTCTCCCCTTCAGCCTTAATAGGTGGCCCCTCAGAGCCACTATTGACAAAGGAGTGAAAGAACACATTGTGTGTATCTGTGTCTTTTCTCTGAGCTCTGCACTCTTCTGCAGGCACTTGAACCAGCAATACTGAATTTATCTGTCACCTTCTTTTTGAAATCCCATTCTTTTAGTTAAAAAAAAAAAAGGTTTTGAGTTTGTGTGCGTCAGACAATGTCAGTGGGTGGGAAAAATCTAAGCGCTGACTGTTGCAATACCAAACCACCATAGCCTCAAAATGAAAACCATGCTTATTTATGGCTTTAATTTAAGTTTACTAATCACATTTGTTGTTGTCCAAAAGGAGGATATTGGATTGTGTACTGGTTTTGTGTGTGTATTGCTGACTGGGAGCCTTTTTATTAATGAATACATTTTTTTCTAATCAGAGAATCCAAAGGAACTATGTGTCAGTCAAATGAGAAAGAGTGGCGCCAATTTTGACCCACTCAAGCGGACATACTTAATATAATCCCCTTTTAAAAAAAAACTAATTTCCTACAATCCCCCTAATCCCTAAAGACGCCCTCACTCATCACTGTGACAGCGGTGCATTGTCTCAGCTGAACCTCAAGTGTTTTCTCTGGTTCCAGTCTGAACTGAGAAAAACGGCCCTGACTGTAACGAGCCTGTGCTCCTCTCTGCTCACTCCCTACTGGCTGTTGTACTGATAAACACAAACACACTTGCCCGATTATTAATAAGGCAGCCTGGCTCTATTCTGGGCCTTGCCTTGAATAATTTATTACACGAGTGAGACTGGCCAATGGCACGAACCGTATCTAATGCGAACAGGCGCGCTCTCCAGATTAACGCTGATAAAATACCAAATAAATGTGATATTTATTTAATAGAAAATACATGGTAGTGTGTTTATACACAGCCACCTCTCTCAGGTCTCTCACAATCTCTGCACTGCATAGCTTTCATTGTTGAAAACTGTGGGAATGTCACCTCTCCACATCCAGCTGCAGGATTCAGCTCTCACTCTGTAGTTTCTGACTTTTCTGGAAGGGCACAGAGTTCAAGCAAGAACACCAGTCTGCAGCCTCTTATGCAGATCCGCATTACGATTGTAAATCTCCACTATCTTCTGTATTGACTTCTCAGTGTCTGACCCGGCATGTGTGTGTGTGTTTTTTATCTGTCCAGGCCCTGGATGTGGATCGCAGTGTTCTCTACAAAATGAAGAAGTCAGTCAAGGCCATCTATGCATCTGGTCTGGGTGAGTCTTCCTGTCTGACTCAGCTGTCATGGTTTTGGTTTCCCTGTCTCATGTCTTTTGTTTTGGACAGAATGCACCATGCTCACTTTTTAAAGACAACTTGTTTTGGTTCCACAGCAACTAAATAAAAATGGCCGCCCTGCCGTTTCTTACGTTTACAATCATCATTTCCTTCTGCTGTGCTTAGTAAGAACATTTTTTACACCTATTCACACCTTTGTATCAGTTTTCATTTAAAAAATGCAGCAGTAGGACGATGGTTAGAGGAATAAGGATTCAGATGTGTGTGTGTGTGCGCGCGTGTGTGTGTGTGTTATTCTTCCTGTGGCTGGCCGTGCCAGTGTTGGGTGTTTTCAGTGTCTTTTGTTCGGCCGGCCTGACAGAACCCTGCTGAGACAGAGGAGAGACCTCAGAACAATGTGCTGAGTGGGTCTTTTTCAGAACAGTGTGAGCTCTGTTCAGGCCAGAGGGACAGCTGTCTGATCCAGACCCCCAAAACGAACAGCTGGGGAGGGGCGCACATTGTGTGTGTGTGTGTGTGTGTGTGTGTGTGTGTGTGTGTGTGTGCGCGCTGAAACATGGCCGGAGTCATGTGCTCACTTTGCTGTACCATTAAATATATATTTACATGTACGTATATGTCGGCTGTTTCTGGCCAGACTGCAGAGGACAGGAATGACCAAACAATCAAAAAAATATACACATAATTTTTTTTTTACAAAAACATGTTCCTCAAAGTCTGTCATTTTTCTTTCAGCTTCCTCCTCACAGATTTAAGGTCCGTTTTTCTTTCCCCGCATTCAAGATTTTTGCCCAGCGGTGAACGATACAGAGACGGACACGAGGCACCCAAGCAGTCCTCAGTCTTTCACTTTCCATAGTCATTTAGAGGCCAACAAAAACAGCAGTGCCCTAACAAGAAAAGGACAAGAAACAGAGATGTGAGACAGTTGCTGCGCTGTCAAACTTCCTGTTGGTGAATGGTGCTGTTTTAGAGAATTTTAGCTCTCCTAATAGCGCCGGAGAGCTAAATGTGTAGCAAGTTCTAAGGAACGCTCAGAGAGCTGAAGGGCTTCAGTTGTGTATGCTAACACAAAATAACAAAGCAGCATTAGTGCAAAACTCCTAAAATCTTTTAACATTAACACATACAGGTAAGTCCTAAACTGGATGTCAATACTGTCTGGAGACTTTAATCTAAAAATATGGATGAAAGCTGGGTTCTCTTGGATATTCCTTCAGGGTTCTGCCAGGTGGCTTTGGGGAATATGACGGAGAGTCTCTTTCAGCACAAAGCTGGTGTGACTCATTGCGAAGTTGTGTTACAGCCGAAAGGCGGGGAGGGGGGAGATCTATGAGGCACAACTCAACATGGCGGCTCCTATAAGCTGGATAAGCAATATCGGCCTCTACAAAAGACAAAGGAAAAGATGGGATGCCCCGTCTCAGTGCTGGCCTGGTCAGGCTGTCAGCTTGCTGGATTAGACGAGTAAACCAGCAGCAACCTCTCAAACCTTTTTAGGGTGGGATGATGTCTCAGCTGGTGATGTGCTGAGGGGGGCTGCTCTGCTCCCACTCATGCATTTCTGTCCTTGCCATCGAGCGGCCACTAAAATAGTTGAAGGTAGTATTCAAAGCTGAACATTAAAGTTGGACGAAGAACCAAAATGGAAAAAAATAATGTATTAAATGACTGGAAAAAATAGATTTCTCGACCCTGTGGGCTTATTTTTATTATTAGGGGTGGGGGGTAGATTCCAGTGTTGTTTTCGCACAGTGTATGGAAAGAAAATAATCAGAGGTCAGACATTGTGTTAGTGAGCATCAGCAGATGAGGCCTTGCAGATCCATGTGAGACGGGGTGAGTACGGGAAAGGCGGAAGCCGAGACCGGTCTGTTGTCTGATGATTAAACCCTGTGTGAGCCCGTGTGTTTGCCTAAGAAAGAATGTTTGGAAGAAGCCACAAAACAAACCCCTGGGACGTTAGATAATCCTCAGCAGACGCCTGGACGCGGTACATAGTTAGTTCTTTTCTGTGTTTTTGTCCACATGTACGCTCAGAGATAAGATGCAGTGGATACAACTGGTATTAGCCAGGCCTTTTGTGTGTTTTCAAAGTGTGTGTGTGTGTCTTTTCAAGACTCCTAGTGTTTGTAGTAAATATGAGACTATAGTTTGCTCAACAAAAAAGAAATTCTTGGTCAATCTTCTTCTGATGTACACGTCTAGAGTAAAATTTAGATTTTAATTCATCAAAGTTGGACTCAGAACTGCTTCTAGAGGACTGCATTTCTCATTGGCACGAATTATTTTGAGCACATTGAAATATTTCAGCAATCAGGGTCCTTTTTATGTTATCTGTGGCTGCAGCTTGTTTCGAGTCTCTCTCAGTCCTCAGAGGAATAACCTTTCGATATCTTTGTGTTTGTTTGCATACGTTTGTGTATCATGAGATTGTTCCACTACTGCACCGGTTTATAAGAACTGGGGACATTGTGCGTTATCCGTTGATGCATAGCTGTTGGTCTGATTACTTTGTAGGTTAACGCCAAACTAGCAGGTCGTGTTTGTAGTTCAAACTGTCACCAGAGTTTTAGTTTCTCCTCCAGCCACCTCATGTTCAGAGCTGCTCTTAACTGAAGCCTGCTCGCATGATGTGTGTCGGTCATGTTACAACAAATACACGCGTGCTGGCTTTGGCAGCCCTGCTGGGGTTGTTCTGTGTGTCGGCTCTGAATAGCAGAGCTCCCGTGTGCCACTTCAAAACCGTCAACAAGCCACCGCCTCGTTGGCTGGGTGCCTGGAGGAGGCGCGGCCCCACAGCCGGAGCTGATGTGTAAACAAAGGTGGTTGGTGCTTTTTTTTCTCTTTTTTTTAAGAAGATATCGGTGCCTTAGATTAGATGTCTCGTGGGGGGATGCCTCCAGGTGATGACTCAGAGGCTTTCACTGTTTCCCTTTTAATAACATGATGGATATCTCTGCTGCTCAGACATGAGCTTCATCTATAAAGCAGCGGACTTGTGCGGCTTCTCACTTATCTGTGCGTTTGGCATCTTTAAAGCTGGAGAGCTGACTCACGATGGCTGCAGGTGTCTCCTTTTATTTCCCACGTCATCACATCTTTACCCCTTCCCCCACGTTTCTGTTGCTGCTCTCTGTTGTCGTAGTATCAGTCCCCTGATGCTTCTTTCCATGCTCAGCCATTGTTCCCTTTGGCATTAGCTCTTATCAGCTGCCCTCTGTGGCACGAAGTGTATAAACTGGAATTTGCTGGGCCTGACCTTGAGGTAGAAAAAGTCACATGCAGATGCAAGGTTCAGTCATAGTTCTGGTATTTATGACAAACTTATACTGAAATTAAACTAGGTCTGTTAGTTTAAAAATGTATCTGTAACACTGAAGTTAAGGGCCATTTAAAACAAAGACTGTAAAACAAATACATCTGTTTTTAGCAGGAAAAAAAGAAGACGAAGATTATATCGTTTATACTTTCTGGACAAGAATTTTTCAAGGCTCCAGGCTTACTCTTACAAAGAGGTGGACTTTTTTTAAGCTTAGTAAACAAGACCTGCGGTGAGGGAACTCTAAGATACTAAAGCTCTGCAACAATGGAAGAAGATTCTTTTGTTCAGGGTTTTGATCACCAACATTTTGATAAAACGTGCCAGAATAAAGTTGGGAAGGTTGCAACAACTTCACACCAACAAAAGGCCTGCGAGCGTGTAAATCCGATACTGCAGTGGAGGATAAAATGGGGATTCACTTCCCTCTCACAGACTACCATTCATTATTGATACCCAGGTTGATTTTTGACTGGCAGAGGTTTGATTCCCACTGGCTTTGTGTGTGTGTTCCAGCCCACGTGGAGAATGAAGAGCAGTACACTCAGGCCCTGGAGAAGTTTGGAGAAAACTGCGTGTACAGAGACGATCCTGATCTGGGTTCAGCCTTCCTCAAGTTCTCGGTCTTCACCAAGGAGCTCACTGCGCTTTTCAAAAACCTTGTGAGTATCGTCTGTGTGTCTGTGTGTGTGTGGATTAGATGGAGCTGGATAAAATCTGGAATATTAAAGATTTCCGTGTTTTCACTGACTAATCATATTCCCTCGAGGTACTTTCTGTGTTTTCTAACACACACACTAGCACAGGCTGAGTCCAGCTGGAGCTTAAAGCCCCTGAGGACATTGCTCAAGTTTTCCATGGAGGCGGCCAAAGAACCAAGCAACACCAAATATCCGCTGGATCTAATTTGGCCTGAACCTGCTCCTTTAAGAGTCCAGTGAAGAGGAGCTTGAGATTTTTGTGTTGGTGGCATCAGCTCAGCAGTATGAGCTTCCATCTAACCTGGATATAAAGCTTTTAATAAGGCTTAATATCCGACATTACATCTGCTCCATTACACGTCTTTATTGTTAAAGGGGAGATGAGTGGAGTTTTTCTTTTTAAGAAAATTTGACAGTTCATGCTCTTTGTCACAATAAGATGCAAAAGGGATGAGTTTTAGCCTAAAAAAGACGTTAATCTATAAGCTTACTTATGTCTATTTGGGATAATAATAAAAAAAAAAAAGACTCACCATAATCTACTCTTGATAACATGCTGCTGATTAGTGTTATCATTTGTTGATTAGCTCCTTTTCTACTGGACAATTCATCCACACCCACAAACTTTAAATGTTCTTAATTTGAGTCTGCTGCTGCATTAAATGTTGTGATGCTACTTCTCAGCTCCAATTATCACTCTCCCCCCCTCTTTTAGTTCCAGAACATGAACAACATCATCACCTTCCCTCTGGACAGCCTGCTGAAAGGAGACCTGAAGGGTGTCAAAGGGGTAAGACAGCACAGCAGTGTGGTTTAGCATTACCCCGCTCAACAGGAAACGAGTACATATATAGAGAGGGAATTTTTGGACTTGTTTTGTCATTACTGACTTTGAGATAAAAGAGAAGAGGGCAGTTTTTTTAAAGGGAAAGAGCGACGCGTACGCAACACTTTGTCATCGGTTTGACACAAAAAGTTGGGTTTTGGTTCAGGATTAGTTCTGACTAAAGACGAAATGATTCATTTAAATGTCTTTTATAGTCATGTTCTACCAGTGGTGGCTTAGTCTTCACTAGAAACAGTTGAAAACTAAAAGTAAACAGAAGTCTCAGTTTTTTTTCCTCCAAAGCAATTTAAAGCTGCTTGACAGGACTTCTTGTCCTCCAAATTCTGCAGTCCTGTGTCAGGATTTACATGGCTTTGACCTACCTCAGGCTATGTTTCCAAACAAATCTCTGGCCTTTGTTTCCACCTGGAAACCCACTTCTTCATCGTAACCTCAGCTGACTTTCTCCTCTCAAGCTGGAATAAAATGTCATGGCATGCTTTTCGAGGGTCGTGCATCATTTATCAGTATGCTGGAGAAGGCCTGAGTCATGTAACCAGCTGTGTGTGCACACCGTCCAGAATGAAGCCCTGTCATCAACCGTCTGCCCAGCTGTAATGCAATCAGCACTCATTGCTGTCCGGGGCAGTCTATGACCTTTCAGTCTAAAGCCTCATGATTGGCTTTGGTGTTTCCACTGAGGTAGGACTCGATTAGAGGAGTCTGGTTGCCATGGATATGCCAGTTGTACCCGCGACCCTCTGCCACTTAACTGTGTTTCCACATCCTAACGGTCCCCCTTCTCTCCCGGCTATCGCCTGTCTCTTGTTTTCCTTTCTGCTGCCGGCTGCTCCTCTCGTCAGCGATTTCCTGTCTTTGTGTTTAAACTCCGCCGCTGCCTCCTCCTCTTTCCTTTCACTCGGTTCCCGCCGCCCACCCCTCACACCGCAGTCCAACTGTGGTTGGTCACATCTCTAATGCTTCCCCGCTTATTGCTCATTAGCCCTCAGATGATTCTCATTACCCCACAGATAAAGAGCAAATGAGCCGCTGGCTCTTTTTATACTTCAGGCACACACACACAAAAACGCACACACACACTGTGGTGCAGATCTCACCACTGACGTGGTTTAACTAAAGCCGTGAGGGTTTGATAGAATAAAGTGTGGATGGATGTGATGGGCTGGCACTTGTGTTCTCCTCACTCTTAACCTTGAAAAGCTCCCTCAGCTCCGCAGCTCGGTCTCCATCCTCCTCTCTATCCCTAACCCTCGTCTCCTCTTAGGGGAAGTACCTGGAAGCAGGATAGAGTCCAGACCTGCATGACAGTGTTTAGACTGAATTAAGCAATGAGTTGATCCAGGTGTTGTAAAACATCAAAGAAGTCCCTGGAGACGAATTTAATTCAATGTTTTGAGAGGTGACTATAAATGTGACTGTAAATGTATGCTTTTTTCTCCAATGCAAATGGCTTATTCCAGTTATCTGTTTAATTTGGCTTGAAAGTCCTCCAAAGCATTGCTAAACGAAAGTATTAGTTTATATCTCCACAGACTGCTGCCAAACCTGATTATGTACTCTGATAAGATTAACCGAAAATAGCTGTATAACTCATATCCAAGTTAAATTTAGAGTCGTTCTTGAGCATTTGGATACAATGGCCAAATTTCAGGCCATTTAGAAGATAAAGATTTTTAGCAAATCATATTAAGTGTAATTGTAATCAGCAACAGAAATTTAAAGAACCTGAATTTTATTATTGCCTAAATGACTTTTTCTTGTTTATAATTTTTTTTATTATGCAACAACAGGAAACCTATCTATAAAAAATCTCATGTTCAAACGCCACATGTCTTATCCAGTCTCTGCTCAATGGGCAGATAAAAAAAACACAGTTAAGGAACATTTAACAGTGGATTCTAAAACCAAAAGCATCCAGTTAAAGTGCAGAACTATTTCTCTCTCTTTCCCAAAAAGATGCAGCATCCAGGTCAAAGCCCTGGCTTCAGAAAAGTTTCAGTGTGGCTCTGCGCAGAGATGCAAGAGTTTTCTGAGCTCTGTTGGAAGCAGTGGAGTGTCCACAGGCGGGCTGCGTGTGTGCTAAAAGATTTATCGCAATCCATCGCTGGAGTATTCTATGTAAAGGAAGAAAAAGAGGAATTTTTTAAATAGTTTGAAGTCAGACAAAAAAAAGCCCTCCTTTTTCGAAACTTTTTTAAAAGTTGCTAGAATCATCAGTTTTCAAAGCAGTACTTAAAAGCATCGTGGACTTATTGACATTTTTTTACACAGCAATACATTAAACATCTTCAGAAAAGTGAAGTGTATCTGCGCCACCTCTGATATAGCTGCGTAATTACATTTAGTGCAGCTTTCATTCCATTTCGTTAAGGACTGAATGGCTTTCTGTTGACTATTGTTCCCACAGAGCTTATTAATATTCTGCCAGCGTGTTCTTCGGCAATGAATGCAGTGAACTGACCCCGAGGGAGGCAGCTGCTTAATGGCTCTGGGATTACGGTGCTAGCACCTAGCAACCTGTTTCTGCTGTTTGTCTGCAAAAAGCTCACAATTTTCCACTTCATCTGCACTTCTGGCTAACTTAGCCCTGTGGGCAGATGGGGAATTCACGAGCACAGCTCGCTTTAAGTCGTGAGATGTCGCCTTTTGGTCTATAAAGTTGAAAAGGAACACGAGGAAATGCACTGTAAAACCCTTGAAAGCTGGAAAAAAGTCGGGTTGGTGGACAACCTTGTTGTGTTTTTGCAGAGGACAAATTTTCACTGGGTGGAAGCTGCGAAGTGCTGAGTCTTCCACGGCGTTTTGCCAACAGTGGACTTTCAGAATGGATGTCGGCATGATGTCATGCCTGCAGCCGACCCTCTCATCCTCTGCTTATATACGAGTCCGCGTTCCCAGCTCGCCGTGAGTCATATCGGCTCATCACCATTCAGTCACAGCTTCTGGTTAGCTGGTGCTGAATCCGCCGTGTTTGTTCTGAGTCTGAGGAGGCCAGCGGGGAGGCTGCACGGACTAATGCATGTGGATAAGAGCAGCTCCAGTCCAGCTGGGCCTCATTGTGGTTCAGTGGCTCGTGAGCAATGGAAAAACACCCACACATTGACAGATTCTAGATAAGAACGGATCTCTGATCAGTACCCCTTCTTACCGGTTAGCTATGCGCTAAAACCACAGTTTGTAAAGCTGCCGAACGACAGGGAGATTTCTCTCTCATGAAACATAATGCCATGCACATATTTTTAATGATCTGTCCTGGTTTAAGAACGTCTTGGCTGGTGTCTGAGCTACACCCAACCGGCTGGATCGAAGCCGCATTCAACAAAACTCGTTTGTATCGTTGTTAGCCTAAACATGGTAAATATTTTTCAGAGTCAGACGCCGTTCATCAGAGGGGAAAAGGTGTTCAGACGTAATTGGTCTGTGATGAAGGCCAGTGTCAGTGCTGGGACACTTTCTCCATCCTTCAGGCCCACAGAGACACAGAGGTGGGGTGAATGAGAGTCTGCCGCTCGGCCCTTCCCTGCCCAGCAATGCCTGTGTTGTATTTTTAGTCATTGTTACCATTTTTCTCCCCTCTCTGGCTCTGACATTTCCTTCCGCTGGTGCTTTTTTTTCTCTCTTTCTCTCTTTTGACCCATGGTCCAGTCTTCATGCGGTTTCCTCTCTTTCTTCAGTTTTTTTCCCCCTCTGCAGTCTGTTCTTTTTGTTTAATAGCTGTTTCATGCTTTCTGGTAGCCTCCGTCCTTGAGCCGGTTGGGGGAATGGCTGTCGGGGCCCACTGAGATCCTGGGGGCTGACAGGTTGAGTCTGCCACTCATCCGCTGTCAGAGTGGATGTCAATGGTGAGATCAGTCCAGTAAGAGCTTTCTAACTACGAGGCAGAAACTTTCCTCAGTTAAGGAGAAAAATCGAATGCATGGTGAAAAAAAAAAAAAAAAAAGAGTTTAAGATTTCAGAAGCTACTCTGCAACAATGGTTTGGGTTAGTCTCAGAGCTGATCTCTAGATGCTGTAAGAATGTTTCATCATTTCCAACTGATGGATGCAGAGACTGACCCATCACTATTAACGGTCAGCATGAACTTTAGCCTTTTAGTAAGGACATCAGTTCCATCACCGCAGCAACAACAGCGTTTTTCAGTCAAGTGTGTTCCGTGTGACCAGAGAATTTGCAGAATCAATTCCCAAAATGCTCGAATCCCACTCCCACACAGAAACCCTTCAGCCGTCTCCTCGCCCAGGTCTGAGTGTCAGAGCTGTAAGCGACTCAGCATCTGCGAGGAGGATGACTCAGCGCCCTGATTCACAGGAGTCTGAAAGACACACCTGCACACATGCACAGCTCTTTTGTTCATTACACATTCAGAAAGAAAAAATGTCCTCCTTTAACATCCGACACTAATGAAGTACTCCATTTCCAGCTTGTTGTATGAACATCTGGATTTCGGAATTCTTCAGTGTGCAACTTTTGTCCTAATATCGTTTTTTTGTGTGTTTTTCTCTTTTTTTTGATTGATCAGGGTTATATTGATTGTTTAAGCATGTCTAATTTGCCACTTACATTTGTTTGCACTATTCCTCAAGAGCCCGGGGGTATGAATGAGGGGGACCAATTGCTTTTTTTACCACCGCCCAACAGTTACATGTCTTAAGGACTAATTCATGTCACTAAGATTGACTGATAAATGCACATTAAATCATAAATTGCAGTTTTGTGTTCAGTAAGTTGACACTGTATGTTTGTCAATGGGGTGATTTTTGTGGGATTTTATTTATTTTGGACATTTTTACAAAGCTTGTCAGCTGTTGTCTGCAACCTCACATCTATAGTTTAAATATTCCTGATCTCAACTGACAAATGGCGACCATACGATCAGCTGGAAAAAGGCTTCTATGTTCTCCATTGGCACATCGGTTTTGCTCAGTGTTGTGGTCGGTTGAAGCATTTCTCATAACTGCTGAATTACGGGAACATTTGTTTTGCTCAGCTATCTCGGGGTTGTTTTAGCTTTGGGGTAGCGGCGACAGCCAGCTCATCCGTCTGTCAGCTCCTTGAACGTCCTCCTGGAGGATCACCTGCTTTCTCTCCAGACTAACTATATCATTCCTGTAAGTCCTGGATCAGCCCTTGGGCTTTTCCTGGGCTTTCATGACCTTGTAACCTTCTAAACGGAGCTCCTGGAGGGGAGGCATTCTTATCTCTGGCACACCTTGACTTTTTCCCGTCCCTGTGAAGGGGTAGCCACCCTAATTTAAACTCCTAAGACTTCAGAACCTCCCACTTGATGTTGTAAAGTAAACTGAGCCATACTTAAGTTTATTTGACCGTTGTCTTTACAAACTTTTCATTCAATAATTGGTGTTTATAACCGCAGGTAAGGACAGGGACAGTCTCATAAATCAATGTCTATTTCTCACTACTGAGAGGCAGGGAGCTACCCCACTGTTTATGTTCCATTCAAAAAGGCAGCAGAGAACATTTTTTTAAACTTTACTCGATGTAACAAGAAAATTGTCTGGCTGCTTTTTAAAGTCCCTACTGTCCTCTTTTGCTTTGTCTTTTACAGGATCTGAAAAAGCCTTTCGACAAAGCTTGGAAGGACTACGAAACCAAAGTGTAAGAAACATACCAGTTTGCTGTGCATTCTAACATTTACACAATTCGATTTTTCCGATTTCACACCATTACCAATCCAGTTTTATAACTCGATTAGTCATCATGCAGTATTATTATTTGGTCTCTACAAGCGTGCTGTATCCCACTTGACTAACTGCACTCCCTGTCTAAAGTCTCCCTGTGATTAATGTGTCAACACATCTCTAAGAAGGTGAAAAACCCACCCTATCTGTCACCTTTCCACCTCCACGCCCAGTCTCCATTTTCACCGACCCTCCCCTTGTGACTGTGCATGCAGGAGAGCACAGTTTTTATGGTGCCTTCATATGTTTCCCAAGCTGCAAAGGACATTCTTTACTAAAAGGGTAATGCCTCTTCTTTCCAAACCGTTCTGATCCAGCGCCGTAGGCTATGTTGTGACGCAGACTTTATCTGGATGCTGTGTGACTATTCCTGTCCGCTCCAGCTTATCATTTGACTCTACTCTTGGCAAACGGAGGCCATCAATAGAGTCCAGTCTTCAACATACCCGCCATTGGTCGTGCCTTATCTCTCTGTTGTCTGTTGTAATAAGAACAAGCTGCCTCATGTCATGAGAGATTAAGTCATTTGGTCTTAACTGGCTGTCGATTTCCGATTCCTTTTTTCCCCCCCCGTCTTCTTTGCACCTGATCCCTGCACTTTAGCTGTTTTCAATCTCCATGTCGGAGATCATTTCACGCTGAATGCTGTTTATTCAAGAAGTGGTTGATCTTGATTTTTTCCCCCCTTTTTTTTGTTAAACCATAACTGCAGATTTTTGTCTTGACGCAGTGTTTCTGCGCGGCCTATCACTTCCTGAACTGACAGTACTGAAAGTGAATGAATTCATAGCCCATCATCAGTCAAACAACTGCCCGCTTGGCCTCCAGCCAAACAGCCTGGCAAACATGTGCCTCTCCATTTGTCTCAGCCCTGATGATGTTGTAATGCTGTCAGAGCTGAGGATTCATGTGCTGACCACGGCCAAAACTGTACTCCTAGTCAAATAGGTTTGGCTCGTTTACAGCAGTTTAGCTGAATGTAGCCGTGTCTTTTTGAAAGATTTTATTGGACCTTAAAGTTTTTCTGTGCTTTGCATCCAGAAATAGCTGCTTGCGTCATGGCTTCTGAGAACAAGTGCCATATTATTTCATTTTTAAAAATCTGCTGGCCATGAATACAAACTGCACAATCTGAAACCCGGACAAGGCGTGTAGTCAATTTATACACTTGCTTTTTTATGGTAAGAAAGACGTTTTCAGATCCTCTCAAATTCCCACATTTATGTTTCAGACTCTTTTCGGGAGTGCGTTTTTTTTAAATACATTTTTCAAATAAAGAAGAAAGGGGCAGAGCTGACTTATCACTTTTACATAAGCATTTGGGTTGTTTAGTGGGTTTACGGCTGTCCAGGTCCATCCTTCCTCTGTCTGTGGTCATTGTGCCCCATCTGCAACTTTGTATTACCTGTAAGGTCTCCAAACGAGGACAAATCAGACGGAAGTCATTCCTCTTTAAAAGACACGTACTTTGCGTACTTTGCGGGGAAATTTCCTTGATCTGATGAAACAAAGCTGAAACTATTTAACCCCAATGTTTGCATGGGGGAAAGTAAGGAACGGCATGGGGGGGAAACGCAAACAGATTTACACATTTTCCAGATCTCAGGCTGGTCTGAAGATTTTGATTAAGACGGCTACCAGAAACGGACAGATTTCTGTATCTGGGCACAGCAAAAAAGAAAAAAGTAGATGTAAATGGCTGACCCTCTTTATTCATCCTGTTTGAGCTTGAACATTTTATATCTCGAGACTTAATGAATCTTTATGAGTACCAAGAAAAAGGGCAGAATGCTTGTATAAATGGGATGTTCAGTCTTTCTTTTAGGACTTTAAAGATCTCTTTTTTTGTTGTTGTTGTTGTGGAGAATTGTGTGCTGCTTGGTTTTTTTCAGGGAATATGTGTAAAAAAACTCAGCATATGGAAAAAGAATAACCTGCTGCATGGAATGGTGCCTTCCCTCCTTTGTCTGAAGTGTTTTCCCCTCATGCCTGTGGAAGAAATGGTATTTGTGTGAAAAATTAGCCCTCGACACTGACTGCCAGGAAACTTACCAACAAGTGTTTTTTAAAAACAAAGTTTTATCCCTAATTTCATTATCTTATTTTAGAATTTACCGTTTTTAACCTTTTTCTGCACCAAACTGATCTGACCGTAATCATCTGTGAGGCCTCTAGAAATAACTCTATGGGTGGGACCCTGGCAGTGTATCAGTCTACAGTTTACCTTTGTGAATGGAGAACTGAAGCACTCTCCTTAACATCTGCTCTGGAATCCCCTTAGCTTTCCTGACTGGTTTCACAAGTGTTTGATTATACAAACAAGCTTTATGCAAACAATGGAAGCTTTCCAAAACCATAGATGAGCTCACCGTTCATAGACTGAGATTTTATGGGGGAAAAAAGTAATCAGCAATACAAGTAGTTTCTTTCTTCCTCACAGTCCTCATTTCTTATCCTTTTAGATGCCGAACCACCTCAAACCCCTTGATCATTAGTTTGTAAAATCATGGATTAATAGGTGCCTCTAGGGCTGATTTTTGCACACTATGATGCTTCCTGTGTTTGCGATTTTCCTATGGCAATTTGGTGTGCTCTTTGACCCTTTACCTTTCACGGTCTACCAGTACCAAGATAGAGAAGGAGAAGAAGGAGCATGCAAGACAACATGGGATGATTAGGACAGAAATCAGCGGGGCAGAAATCGCTGAAGAGATGGAGAAGGAGAGAAGATTCTTCCAGCTGCAGATGTGCGAGGTCAGTTAGAGAAATGATTAACATTTCCCTCATGGGCAGTAAATCATTTGCACCATAAAAGATCTGTACACGAATGAACTGTTTCATAATGCAAATGGGGGGTAGTTTGAATTTGACCATGACTGAACAGCCTGCTGGAGTACAGGCATCCCATTACACGAATGCTGCCGGTGCCTTTTTTTATTTATTTTTTTAGATGTTTTGCTCTCATGAAAATTTCCTTGGACACTAAAGAGTCTGACTTTGAAGTGTCTCGATATAAGATCAAAGCAATGTGTCTGTTTGAGAGGAGGCCTAAAGAGCGTAGAGAGCTGCCTTTCGTCTCTGCCTGAACCTGGTCTGACCCCTCTCTCCGGCTCTGTATTCAATCTGTATACAGTATCTCCTCAAAGTCAACGAGATCAAAATCAAGAAAGGAGTGGACCTGCTGCAGAACCTCATAAAGTACTTCCATGCACAGTGCAAGTAAGACGAGCGAGCAGTGTACCCTTTTAGTCCTTTTGTTGGTGTCAGTTTTTGAAAAATCTTTTTCTGTAGATAAAGATGCATTTCCTGTTCAGTTTCTTTCAGGATGGTTTGAAAGCCGTAGACAACCTGAAACCTTCCATTGAGAAACTGGCCACAGATCTGCACACGGTAATATCATTTTTCCATGTTTCATCCTAGTTTTTCCCTTTATGACATGTGCTTTGTAATTACCTCATCGTGTTTCTTTTTTATTAAAATCAGATCAAGCAGGCGCAGGACGAGGAGAGGAAGCAGCTAACTCAGTTACGAGACGTCCTCAAATCGTCTCTACAGGTGGAGCAGAAAGAGGTGAGACACACAAAACCTCTTTCACTTAAACACAAAATGACTGAATGTGTTCATAAAGTCAGAGAATTCTTGTTTTTGTTGTTGTTTTGGGTAATTTGTGTGCAAAATGCTGTTTTTCTGAAGGTTGTTTTCTTCTCTCCTTCGCTGCCTTTGTGCTTTGTAAAACAAGTCTAGGAGAGTAAGTGCTTTTCTTGAATAGCATATTTGTGTAGCTTTAGACTCTTGTGTTCGCTGTGTATCGTCAGTGTCAGATCTGTGTTTGCTTTTCTGTGCTATTTGTCTTTTTTTCCCCAGTTGGTTTATGTTGTTGCGCTTCATTTGATATTAGTTGCACAGTTTAAAAGAAAAAAAGAAAGGTTTAATAACTGCACACATACTTTTTCAATCATTCAATTTTTTCTCCATATTCATTTATTTTTTCTGAATAGTTGTAACCAAGACAAAGTTGGATAGCCAAAATGACTGTTGAACCATTTCTAACAGGGTTTAAATGCATTCAAAAGTTTGGGCACCCCTAACTGTCAATTTTTACTTTTGATTTGGTGCAGTTCAGGAACGGAACATGAGTCAGAAGTTTGGTCACCTTCATTAGTATTCCTCATCATTTACACTGGCAGCGCAAAACATAATTAACCTTTGTTGACTTTGGTTCATAACCGTTATTAGGATATGTGAAGACGTGTACATTTCAAAGAAATATTTAGCTTCAGCTTTCTCCTCCGAAGAGCTGCTTCTCATAGGAATGTGTGCCATTATTTTTCATCTATGGCCTCAATGCAGAAGTAAGAGATCAGTGGAAGAAAAATGGGGGCTTTTATCATAAAGAAGCACAGACACAGCAGTCATCAGGGACAGTGGAGCTCAAAAGAAGCTTCAGAGGACTCTTAGAAGTGGAGTTTAAATCTGTGTCAGAAATATGAAACCCAAACATGCCTGATGCGTTTTGGAAAGAGAACCTGAGGACTGAGACAGGTATAGCTGCAGGGATACGTTTGGGAATGAAAAGGCTTCCAGAAACTTGAAAACAAGCGTCTGTCAAGCTTTGAGCGTGCGCTGCAGTCTTTGGCACAAGGGACATTTTGCTGGTAAACGAAGGAACGGATTCAATTAAATGGAGGACATCGTTGTGCCGTCTGTCCAACAGCTGAAGAGAAGAGGATTACATATGTGCAGAGGCCTCAAAAGAGCAGCGCACGCGAGGCAGCCCAGGAAGCCAACAGAGCTGGAAGCTTTTTGAAGGAGGAAGATGAGAAAAAGGCACAAACAAGAATTCAAAATCAGGGGATTACAGGCTTTAAACCATCTGAGTCTCCTCAGAGGGTTTGTTACCAAGCACCGATCACAGACGATGACCAAACTTTGGCTGTGACATGTTTTCTTTATCTGTTCATTTTAAAACAGAAAAATTTAATTTTTATTCTTTTTTTTTTTCCAAATTGCTGTCCCTAATTGGATCAGGGGTGTCTAGACTTTTCATGCAGTTGTTTTTGAGAATTAAACCAGCAACCAGCCCTGTCATGTGAATCTGACGTGGACTGAAATGTTTTGCAGAGCTATTTAGGTCCAAATGTCGATAACAGAATCCGGCCAGAGGTTTTTGCCGACCATGACTTCATTGGTGGAAAATGTCCTCCTTTATTTACACAGAACAATTCGGGCTATCAGCAACTAATTTTACTCTTTTTTTTTTTTTTGCCCGCATATTCTCAGAGAATCACATCAGAACAATTTCATGCCTCTGTTGCGCCGTCTTTGCTGAGTTAAACCAGCAATGCTAATTCTTTTTTTCCCCCTCAACACTGATTCCCAGGATTCCCAGGTGCGGCAGAGCACCACCTACAGCCTGCATCAACCGCAGGGCAACAAGGAGCACGGCACCGAGCGCAGCGGCTTCCTTTACAAGAAGAGCGACGGGTGGGTTTGGAAAGCGGTGCCCAGTTACTCTGTCACATTGTATCTATTCCTGTAAAGCTTTTCACAACGGCAAGAATGTCTTAGTAATATTCCAGGACCCGCTTTGTTTTAGTGTAGAGCTACACCATGTTGATATACTTCTGATGCGATCCCTAATATCTGATCAAATGTGTCTGCTTCTGTGTGTGGCAGGTTGAGGAAAGTTTGGCAGAAAAGAAAATGCACAGCAAAGAACGGATACCTCACCATCTCACACGGCACGGTAAGTTAACGGTGACATTTGGAGGGGAAACAACAAAAAAAAGTTTTTACGTCCCTGGAAGAGGACCGGATGAGTGGGTGTGGCCTGGCTCCAGCACGCTTTGATGCAGCCTTTTCAGACAGAACCGTGTGAGCCTCCTGACTGCAGGGGCTCTGACTCGCCATCACATTCACTCATTAGCCGTGAATTTATCTGGAAGCTTCAGAGTTTACTGGCCATCTTTGCACGTAAAGCATTCCTTCCCACATGGCTGCCACAGCTGTGTGCGTCTTAGCTCTGCCTGTTCCCTTATTAAGGTCGAGCTCAGGCCTCTCGCACAGCGCAGCTTATCAGATGTTTCATTTGGCCTCAGCAGCAGTCGCATACGATTAAAAACAACATTCTTTCTTACTTATCGTGATTTTTTTTCTCCCCCCACCCTTCATTCCTCTCTGACTTGTTTCACACGTGGCAGGCGAACCGACCGCCTGCCAAGCTCAACCTGCTCACCTGCCAGGTGAAACACAATCCCGAGGAAAAGCGAAGCTTTGACCTCATATCGCGTAAGTGTGCTCTGATTAATCTTTTATTTATCCTCCAAAGTCTGCGGCCATTGCAGTAAATGCCACATTTAAAACTGCGGCAGAGATTTTTGTTCAGTTTTAAAAAGAGCTCCAGAGCAAATGTGAGCTGGTTCCCACACAAGATGCCAATGTCACACCACATCACAAACAGGCAAAAAAGCAAGAATAGGTCAAAAGAACCAATCAAAGGTTTTCATTATAATTAATTATTTTGTGGACAAAGAAACGTTTGATGCTAGATGCTTGAATCATGTGCTTCTCTTTTGTTTTAGATGACAGAACGTATCACTTTCAGGCCGAGGACGACCAGGACTGTCAGATGTAAGGCCTGGTTCCTTCCTTCCTTCCCTGTGTGTGTCCATTCTCGTGCCTCAGTGCATCCTGTTTACCACCTCATCTGCTTTCTGCCTCACATTAGCCCACATGCTTGGCCTCCTCTGTGCATCCCACCTCCTGCCTCTTAACAGCTTTCCCCTCCTTTCCGCTTAGGTTGCTCCCGTTCTCACAGCATATATCAACCCCCCTTTCTTTCATTTTCATCCATCTGACTCACTGCCTCCCCTGTCTGTTCCTTCGCTCTCTGCTCCAGCTGGATCTCGGTGCTGCAGAACAGTAAAGAGGAGGCCTTGAATCAGGCCTTTAAAGGGGACCATCATGTTGGGGAGAACAACATTGTGCAGGAGCTGACCAAGGCGATACTGGGGGAAGTCAAGAGGATGACAGGAAACGACGTATGCTGTGACTGCGGAGCCCCCAGTGAGTGGAAAATGGGAATGGTGCAAAGCTTGTCAGTTCAGAATTCAATGAAATTCACGAGTCTCTGCATTATTTAGATTAAGAACTGGAAAATCAGGAGTTTATGTCATCAATGATAAATGATCATTAGCACACTGTTCTCCAATAACCACTCCACTCCCTTGTAATCTTTGTGTTTCTTAGTTTAAGGGCATATTTTGGAGGCCAAGTCGTACATTTTAAATGCTAGATGAGTCTTAAATGCACCAGGAAGCATTCTTCTCTAAAGGGCCCAAGCTCTACTGAATGCCAAAGCTGAGATCTCAGGATTTCCTGGTATTTTTCTCTAATATCTGCTCTCATTTCCCTGGAGAAATCCCTGAAAAGAGCCTTGGGTTCTTGGCATATGTTTGCACATATGAAGATGACGTGCTGGGAAAACTAATCAGATTACTTTGAAACTTAAAGTGCTGCTGCAGATCTTAGCTAACAGAAGTCATCTTTGCCATGATGATCGTACAGCAACAGCCTGAAACAGTTCTCAATGTAATGGGCAAATGTAACCTTTTTTTTTTCATTACGACATGCAATGTTGTCAAGTTGCTCAAAAGCTTTAAAACGGAGTCCTTTCAGTTAACTAAACGCCCGCACTCATCACAAAAGAGTCCAAAAATGCACATCCAAATTTAGGGAGGTGCTCTGCACATTTTACGCATGAAAGCACAGCAGCATTAATAATTCAAATCTGCTGACACAGGACAGGATCTAGCAGTGATTATCCACGGCTGTGTGGTCACAATCAATTCTTTCATTTGTGGTTAAAAAAAAAAAAAAAGGCCAAGAATCCTGGGAAAAAAATTACTTAATCCCAAGCAGTAATAACTTTAAAATCACAGGAAATCCATCTAGATGTCAATGTTTGCATTGGGCTTCTGATTCTGAAAACAAATGCATAATTTGGTTCCTGGATTACAATCAAATATGTGTGCTGTGCTTTGGGAAAGTGATGTAATTATTATGATAAAGGATGTTTTATATTGAGGTGTTGTAATGTTTGCAAAACCACTGGTGCTTGAAATGGGTTTTCCCTCAAATTGGTGAAGTACCTCAAATATTTTCTTAAGTCCCATCAAATTTCCTCCTCCATACACGCTTGTAATTCCATATATGAGAATATTGAGGCCACTTGCATCAGAAAGATACCAAACCACTACTTGGGCAGAGATTTCCAGGACGCTGCATCAAAGCTTGCTGGCACGCTGCTGAGATGACGCCTGCTTCAGCGCTCTCATAGGAAGAAGCTTTTCTTTTTCTTTTATGACATCTGGTCTCTCAAAGGGTTTCCCATTTTCATTTTTTTTTTTTTTTTACCTTTTGTCTCAGATCCCACGTGGCTGTCCACCAATCTGGGCATCCTGACCTGTATTGAATGTTCGGGGATCCACAGGGAGCTAGGAGTCCATTACTCCCGGATCCAGTCGCTCACTCTGGATGTCCTCAGCACCTCAGAACTCTTGGTAAATCCCGTTGGGGGGTCTGTGCCTTGATGTAGCTTTTCTTTTTGGAGACTTTCATTTTTTGCCTTCAGTAAAAAATGAATGATTAAGGCAGGAAATGATGAGGAAATTATTATTTGTTCTGGGGGGGGGGGGGGGGGAAGTAAAATGAGCACAGCTAGAGACAAGTAGATAACGAGCACACTTCGCCTTGCTCCTCTCCTCTGGTAGTCTCCTGTCTCAGAATAGCTGAGATTTTTTTGGGGGGGCTTTTTAATCACCCTTTGGTGCAGAGATTTACAGCCTGTGGGACTTTTGGGATTAAATGCTTCCAGTCGTGATTGCTTTCCTTGGTGTCAAGACGCCAGTCGTGTTGGCCACAGTCAGACACGGCTGGCTCCACGCTGACAGTTCAGGATGTCTGCCGCTTCCCAGTGGGTGTGTTTGCTGCTCTGGTGATGTGCGAATTAATCGGCATGACACGCAAAAAAAAAAAAAGTATCTCAAAACTAGTTTCCATTTCTTCATGTCTGCATCTGTGTGTGTATGTGTGTGTGTGTGTGTGTGTGTGTGTGTGTGTGTGTGCTCTACAGCTGGCCAAGAATGTGGGGAATGCAGGATTTAATGAAATCATGGAGGCATGTTTAAATGCTGAAAATGTGGTGAAACCCAACCCGGCAAGTGACATGTAAGTCCCCCCCCAAACTGTCACTTTTATCCCCTCGACTCTCCCTCTTCTCCTCCTCCTCGCTCAGCCCACATGATGTTCTGCCACAGCTGCAAACCTCACTCTGTTGCATTGACACACCTTTATTAACAGTGGATGCATTACTAGTTTTGTCTTCTTTGGTTGTTGTTTTTTTTTTTTTTCCCAACTGTGTATGTAGTTTCATAAATTGTGTTTTTGATTGGTGTTTTTACTAATCTGAACACATCCCATCATTTTTCCATTAACTTTGTGTATAAGAGTTTTAAAGTACTTTCTTCAGCACAGCTGGGAATCACATATGAGTTGTAAGGGAGTTGTTTATTTAGTACCATTATATTTGTTTGTTATAAAACCTCAGACTTTAAAGTTGTCTTCTAAACAGCTTATTAGTTTATATTTCTCACAGCTTTAAGTTGTCTTTCTGCTATAAAGTGTGTAATAATCGTGACAAACAAACGTACTCCCTTTTAAAAAAACAAAAAAAAAACATTCATCTTAAAACCCCTTATTTACGTGCAGTCGCACAAACCTCTCAAAGCTACAAGTTTTACAGTTATCTTTGCTTTGTATTTGTCCACCAGGCAGGCGAGGAAAGACTTCATCGTAGCAAAATACACAGAGAGACGCTTTGCCAGGAAGAAGTACCCTGACGCGACCTCCCGGCTGCACACGCTGTGCGAGGCGGTGAAGGCTCGGGACATCTTCTCCCTCATCCAGGTCTACGCTGAGGGCGTCGACCTCATGGAGCCGATACATCTGGCCAACGGACACGTAAGGGCACTGCCAGTTTCCTTTAACTTTGGGTTCTCACCATGGCTCTTATTACTCAGTGGAGATTGATACACATTTGTTGTTTTTTAGGAACAAGGGGAGACGGCTCTTCATCTGGCAGTCAGGCTGGTGGACAGAACATCCCTTCACATCGTCGACTTCCTCACTCAGAACAGGTGCCACCAACATCCATTTTTTTCTTTTCGTTTTATATCTAAACAATGTTAATTGTATCGTGATTGGATTTTCTCTCTGTGAGAATTAGTTTTCTTACAGTGTGGCCATTCAGACAACAAATGGGGCACGGGACGTTTTCACTCTTTCTGTTCACATTGGGATTTAAAGTTCTGCTCTCTGTCTGTATTTAGTTTAAATTTGGATAAGCAGACGGCGAAAGGCAGCACGGCACTGCACTACTGCTGCCTGACCGACAACAGCGAATGCCTGAAGCTGCTGCTGCGAGGAAAGGCTTCCATAGATATCGGTAAGTAAACACACCAGCAGCACAGTGGCTGCAGTTTTTTTTTTGTTTCCATTGAAAAATCTGCTGGATTTGAGAGGAAAACTTTTTATTTTCCTTTTTTTTTTTTTCCATAAAGATGTTGGACTGTGGGATTTTATTTAGAAATCTTTCAATTCATGCCCATGAATATTCATAGGTACTCCATGATCTCTCCTTCCTGTGGCAGCGTCTCATGCTCACCAATATTTTTTTTTTTGTCAAACAGAAACTTTTTATGTTCAGTTCCCAGACGCGCGGCCCTTGAAATCAGACCACGGCTGCTTTTTTCTCACAACAGTAATGTTTGTGCAGAGCGTCAAACTCAACAAATAGAGGGAGGACAGAGACAGCAGAGAGTTTCCGAGTGTGGGAAACGGTTTAATTACACATTTCTCATGTCACAGTGGAAAAAGGAGAGAGAAGTGGGCAGTGTGTTTGTTCTCATGCGGCATGCAGATGCAACATTGATTACATGTTCCTGTTGTTTTCCCCTCTCTAGCTAATGAGTCTGGAGAGACGCCGCTGGATATCGCACGGAGGCTTAAACACCTCCAGTGTGAGGAGCTGGTGAGTTCGCAGGCCAGGCCTCTCTTTACGCTCCCTGGAGCCATTAAGAGCCGCCGGTCATTAGTGTGTTTGCTCACAGCTGAACCAGGCGCTGGCGGGAAAATTTAACGCCCACGTCCACGTTGAGTACGAGTGGCGCCTGCAGCACGAAGACCTGGACGAGAGCGACGAGGATCTGGACGAGAAGGTGAGCAACAGTCTAGGGACGCAGATCACAATGAAAGATACACACATAACCAGTGAGGTCTGAGGACAACTCAGTCAGATTTTAGACCCAGAACCGTGTGAAAAGCTTTTGTTCTTAATAAATCAAAAGTATTCTTTCTTTTATTTCTTTGGTATTTTTGCTTGCAGTCTGAAGTCTCCTTGTATTCTTCTTCTATCTTTGTTGTTAATGCTAACTGAAAGTATTTAACTTTTGTTAGTTTCTTGCCAGCTACTAACTTCAACTTTGTGCAACAACATTCCTCTCGAGTAGAAGAGAGGAAGCCTTTTGTTTTCTGAAAGCACCCTCGGTTGTGGCCGGTTGGTGTTTTAAGGGCATTGTGTCAAGTGACCTTGAAAGTTTTACCTCTGAGGAATTCAGGGTTTTGTGTGTGTCACTCCAAGTTGTCAACTGTTTTAGGAAATATAGTGTTTGTAATTGATTCTCAAGCTCCACACTTGGTTCCAGAGCCCCTCAGTTGTGAGGTGTTCCAGGGCAATGCCCTTCCAGTGATGTCTGATTATGGAAGGACAAAATCCTCCTAATATGCAAACCGAATATAACTCACGTTTTGTGCGCGTTTGTGTAATACACACTATGCGTGCTGTGGAAACTTAAGTAAAACGCTTTGTACCATGACTGCCGATCTGGACCTGATCTTCTAGCATTGGTTTCCCAGAACAGCAGAATATTTTAGCTGGGGAAGTTTTCCAGAAAAAAATTAATAAATCAGCTTTTCTGTGTGCAAGTGTCACAGACATTCATCAGCTTCTTAGAAGTTGTGTCTTGTGGGTTTACAAAATGCTTTCAGAAGGAATTGTCAACAAGATAATAAATACGACTGTTTTGCTGTTTGTTCTTAAAAGGACTGAACTATTGACAGAAATAAAAAAAGAAAAGGAGCCAGACTTTACTCCTGCTGAATACTCAATTTTTGACGTGACAAGCTAAAGCTTTTACAAACTGAGATACAAGAATGATTTGTCATAGGCGAGTCACCGATTGTCTTTAATCTGCTGTTAGAGTGTTTGCACTTCCTGAGTGGCTCTACCTGCCAAACAGTGCTTTTGATCCATGAGAAATGCCTAAAATGCTCCCACAGCAGAGGAGATTCCAGATGAGCTAGGATCTGCTATTTGGGTCTAGAATAGGAAAGGATTGTATTTGTTTTCGCAAACAGATTTATTGTTCATTTGAGAACAATCAAACGCAAAATGATTCAGCAGTGTGGCAAATGGCGGCTCTGAAGCCATCGTGACATAAAAGGCATAAAAGAGCAACTTTTGTGTGGCTTCGTATGAAAATCATCTGTTCCAAAAATGTGCAAGTTCAGTGAGATGGAAATTCAATTCGTTGGATCCTCAATGTGATCCCAGGCCGCAATCTCTTTCCTCCAGCCAGTGTTACCTGTGCAGGAGTGTGACTTCTTTATTTGATGCTTTTGTAAAGAATTTTATTAGCAAGCTATCAAGAGCAAACACAGAAACTCTGTTGCAGCTATTTGGCCATAGATAAACAACAAAGAGGCATAAATGACCGTTGCACTGTCCCAAACCTTTCATCCTGACACTTCCTGCTCCTTGACCTTTTACCCTGACCTGCAGCCCAGCCCTCATCGCAGAGACGAGCGTCCGGTCAGCTGTTACACCCCCGGCAGCAACTCCCACCCGCAGTCAGGCCGCGACGCCGCCAGCGCCGCTAAAGACAAGCAGCGCGCCTTCATGCCCAACCTGGTCAACAACGAGACCTACGGCACCATCCTCAGCACGGGCTCCCCCCAGCCGGCCACCACCGCCGCCGCCCCCCCGCTGCCCCCGAGGAACATGGGTAAGATCCAGTTTGCCTTTCAGAAGGACAAATGATCCATCGCAGTCAAGATAACCCGTCTGACCTGAAGCTGGCCCCCTTCCGGTGTTGGAGAAATTGTATTTACAGACGGTTCCCTCGAGGCACCCAGGCACTCCTTTAGTCTGCCTGACCCTTTGACCTGGTTAAACACCACTGATGTCTCCTAGGAGGTAGACTGGAGGTTTTAAAAACAGTTGGATGTGCTGCTAATTGAATTCTTGCAGTTCAGTGCTGTGTGTGTGTGTGTCTGTGTGTGTCATTAGTCTGCCCCAGCCAGTCTTTAATAGCATCAGTGGCTGTTTGGAGGGCTGCCAGCAGAAAGGAGGAGAACCAGCCGGCTATGTCGCCCACCTCCCTCTCATCATTGACTGTCGCTCTCAGTTACAGTGAAATGGAAGCAGCTCGACTCCCAAAGTGGACGCAGGCCCTGACAAAGCGGATTCTCTCTGACCCATCTCCTTTTATTTATTTATTTTCTTCCTCCTTGTTGTCTGGTGTAGTCCACCTGTCTGCCCTGGGAGGGATCAGCCAGTCCTCGGCCTCGAGCGGCTGGAAACCGGGTTCTTTAGACCTGGTAGGCAGACAGAGGTCATCCTCGGACCCCCCCAACATGCACCCCCCTGTGCCCCCCTTGAGACTCACTTCAACTGGAGGTAAGGAACCCAGTCAGAGTTGACATCCGGTTAATGGTTCCGCTGTTGACCCGTTTTTCTGTGTACAGATTTGGGCTGTTGGGCTCTTGCCCGGAGTCTTTTAATCACCGTAATCTTAACCAGTTAGAAAACGCAGAGTTTAAGTATTTTACATCCTGTAAACAGTCTGACGCATTCAAGTCCCTACCCCGAGATTATGTACACGTAAATACTTTAAACCAAGAGTTTTCCAGAACCAAAAACGAAAGCTGCTAACAGCGAGGCGCTAAAGTTGATAGCTTTTTCTGATGAATATTTCAACAGAAGAAGATTGCATTGAGATTTGGAATGATTGAAACAAACAAGGTGAAGTAACTTGTGCTGATGTGTGTTACAGCTCTGGGGAAAATGGAGGTTTTGAGCCTACAGTCCAAGTCAAGTCAGGGTCCACTGGGCTCCAGAGGAGCCGCCCCTAAATCTCCTGTGGGGTAAGCAACACGCTGCACACACTGCGGAGCATGGGGAGCTCTTTGGGAATCCTGCTGAGGAGTTGTTTATTGTTTTTTGTTGCTTTTTTTTCTTAGAACCGATAAAAGCTTCAGTCGAGGGATCCTGAATCGAACACAATCCATCGAGAGAGCAGGTGTGTCCAGTGTGTCCGAGCCGTGCTGCTATTCATCACTTCCCGTTTCTTTTCGGGAAGAGTGGAAAGTTTTGTTGTTGTTGCGATGTCATTTCCTTGTTATGTTCCAGCTAAGGAAGTACCAGGGTGCCCCCAGAACTCCATAGGTCAGTCGCTACCTCCGGCCCCCATGCCGAGAAAGGCCTATCCAGTGAGTCCCTCGCTCTGTCCGTCATCCCTCATGACGGCTTTGTTTTCTCCCTCATTCTGCCGTTGCAGATTAATTTGCTTCTTATTTTCCTACCCGTGGTTTGTTTTCTTATGCGTGTTGTGTAATTCTGTGCCATGTTGTTTCAGTGTTTCCATTGTCTGCTTGTGCAAAAAAAAAAGGAAAAAAAGAAAAGAATTCCTTCCTGTAGTCGATGTCTGTGCTTTAGGCGAGAGGCTCTCTTCCCACTTTAAGTCGGAAAGCTCTTCAGCTCTGTTCTCAGTGGTGGAGGAGGGGGGTTTGACACAAACACATGGTGGTAGATTATCTTTCTCATTGTGGAGCACTTTTTCAAAGCTGGTCTTGTACCACTTTTATCCCATTATAGGCAGCTTTTTCATGAATTAGTTGTCTTGTTGTTTTTTTATATGCCATTAATGGCAAAAGTCCTAATAAAAGCATTTGATTTTCAGCGTTTGTCTTACGGGTGGAAATAGGGTGGAGACAAAGCACCATGATCGAATCAGTTTTCTCATTTATGTCATTTAAGTTTAGATACATTTCAGGAGTTGGATTCTGTGCATTTGAATGTTTCACAGGCATTTACAGCCTGTACGCCAAACGGCTAGCTCAAACCAAAAAAGCTGTGAAAAAAAATAAATAAACATGGCCTGAGGAGGCGGCTACCCTCAGACTGCCCCTGTTGTAGCCTTAGGATGTTAAGCCTGCCACCCAATTCTGCTCAAACGTGATCCAACCTGCCTGTTTGTTGTCTCTGCGTTTCAGAAGCAGAGGCCAAAGCGAGTGAAGGCAATCTATAACTGTGTAGCCGACAACCCCGACGAGCTGACCTTCTCCGAGGGGGAGGTGATCGTGGTGGATGGAGAGGAGGACCAGGAGTGGTGGGTGAGTATCGCTCAAGCCGTTGCCGCTATTCTGCAGGAGGAAACTGCCCTCAGTCCAGGCTCCGCGCTCTGGTCCCGTTTTGCTCCCCGTAGCTGTCAGCTCGCTCGGTTACCGCGGCGCCTCGGAGCAACATCTATGACCTCATACTGGCCGGTGGCCATCTCCTCCTCTTTCTTTTTTCCGCCTGCTGTTGCTTCCTCTGTGGAGCCCGTTGTGTGAACGGTGACCAGCTGCAGCTTGTTTTCCTCTGAGCCAGCCCTGCAGATATGACCGTATTTAGTCAGCCTCTGTGTCCCTTCATGGACCCATGAGCCTCTTTCTTTGACCTTCATCCAGCCCCGCTTCCATCTGCCTTTTTTTTTTTTTTTTTTTCCAAAAACCAAAATCCCGACACACAGATAACTGTGTCAGAGGAAGAAAAGAGAATCAGCGTGAACTGTATTCTTCTGTCTTTGCGGAGGCGGTGTTGTGGTTTTTGGTTTTGCTCTGATCAAATCCTGATATTACTGTGTTTTCCTCCCTTTTGTGGTTTTCCATGCCTGTTTGCCATCCCGTATAAACTTTGTTGGAGCAGAAACATGTCCCAGCTTCTCATTTTCAGGTGTAAACGACGTTTAAAATCACATAAACAGAGATTAAAAAGAGTTTTCTCATCTCTGTCATTGAAGGTAATGTCTGGATTTACATAGCCTCTCATTCAACCATTCACACCTTTTCAAGTCTAGGTATTTAGTACAAATGGATAGAATCCTCCTCAGTTTGATTCAATGTTGAAGAATATCACAAAACAACAACACTTGTGCAGGAGACAGTCCCTACAAATCGTTATTTAAAATGATTCTTGCTCGTTAGAGTATTAAAGTAATGCATTACTTTTGTTAATTATATCCCTTTTGGAAACAAGGTCATCTTTATTAAGCTAGGACGTGTTATGAGGTAAAGCATGCTACACATGAAAACCTCCATCCTCAAACCAATCAAATGTGCCAACCCAAACATTATTTTGGGCTTTTAAGAGTCAACATTGGATCATCTGAGATAATTATCCCATACGTGGTTTTAAGATCCCAACCTGTGTCTGTGTTTGCCTTTGTGATGTGGTGTTTAGGTCCGGTTAAGGCCGTCAACTTCGTACGGCATTTGTCCCACTCAACGTCTGTCCTCCACCTCTAACGTCAGCTCTTTTTCTCCACCCCCACCCTCTTTCTATTCTGATTGGTAGCTTGGCCACATCGAAGGCGACCCGGGGAGAAGAGGCGCCTTTCCCGTCACATTTGTCCACTTCATCGTAGACTGACAGATGGCTCTGGACGCCGTGCATCGTCTTCATCGCTCATCCCACTTTCTGCCACCTTCACCTTTGTCTCCACCGGGCGTCCCAATTGGCCCGAAGCTGTTGTTCGGGCGTTGTCAAGGCAATGAGTCTGAGGCAGAGGACTGGAGTAGCCGTGCTGTTCCCAACACGTATAGAATATTTAAGGAAAAAAACGAGCCGGTCGTAGCGAGCCGTCTCTGCTGATAAATGCACTTTTCTTGTCTTCAACGAGGCTTCCCCCGTTTCCTGTTCTGCTGCCTGGAAAGGCTTCCAGCCCCAGACTAAGGGCCACGCGCTTTTATGTGCTTAAGACTCCAAAATGTGAATTTTACCCGACTTGCTTCATTTCCGCGTCCGTGCCCGAGCAATTCGGCAAAAGGTAGCTTCTAGTTTCAACTTTCCAGACCCACAGCATCCATCCTCCTGAGGGAGGGGGGGTGTTTCTAATGGTGCTAAGTTAACCCTGGACCAGGCTGGAAGCTGCATCCAGGGCAGCGCGGCCGCTGCATGTTAGATCCTCCAAGCAATCACAGCTGGGAGAGAAGCTCTTCTCAGATGTGGGTAACGACTTCAGCGCTGTGCATCTTCTGCAAATACTTTTCCCCACACACACTCCGCCTGCAGCAATTTAGCCTGGATGGATCATATTCGGCGGCAACTCTCCAGCTCTTCCTCTTGATCTCTTTTAGATCAGATTGTGACGGCGGCACGAGCCGCAGCAGCCGGTAATTACCTGCTGGCTGAGTCCTCGCTTCTCGTCTGCCTTATTAGAAGTCGGGGTGCGATGGCACGTGTCGTCTGCACAGAATATAACCCACCAATGAAAGCGAGTCAGTGGATGTAGAATGAGAGCATGTGACGAAACTTCAGTCGTGTAGCTTTGCTCTCGCCTCGGAGAACATTCCCGCTCTAGACAGGCAAAGATATATAGTGTGTGTGTATACGTATATAATATTCTTTTAAATGACATCTCTTTGACACTCTACTCGAGGCAGAGAGGGAGAGGATTGTCCTTGATGCTTAAGCCTTATGTTGACAGGTCTCTGAGCTCCTTTGATGTAGAAAGATGCTTTTAAAATGACTAAAACTGTGTAATTAACGTTGTAGTTGCAGAGCAACTTCCTTTGTGTTCATATTGTTCATAGACCAGAGCCTTCCATGTATTTGTGAATGACCAGGAAAGGAGCAAGCGAGTGCTCGTTCTTCATCACATGAGCTATCATCTCACTGGAGCCTGAAGATTTCCTCATCATTTGCTGTAAATAGTTTGGGTTTTGTGTTGTGGATATTTAACTGTAAAGAAGAGCAGCATACACCTGGGCAGTAAATGTCTTGTAATGCACTGTGGTGATGAGCAAACGGCCTCAGCTGGACCCGTGTGGGCAGAAACACAAGGACACACAGCTGGAAACATGATCTCAATTCATTCTTTTTTAACTGTGCGAATCACTACACTGACTCATAATGTGTGCAAGTAAATGGGAAACTTAAACTGGAAGAATAAAATTTGAAAAAAATAAATCACATGACTTTGCTTGTTATTGTTTTTAGGAAGGGGGGGTTACAGTCCCTTATGCCTAAAATAAATAAATGAATAATTATACATATTAGAACACAAACATATTGTCCCCTAATTTATATTCTGCTTCCATGAACACACTTTGCTATAATCCTAAAACCATTCAATGGTTCCAAAGGTTTTCAGAACTCCTTGCAGAATGTAAATTTGTATCAATCTATCAAGTATTCAACAGAACAAGACCTAAAAACGCTATGGAAACAGTCTGTGATTATCTTTGCATCTAAAGAAACTATCTTGAAAATGAGTGGAGAGCCATTCCTGAAGGCCGCCAAAAGAATTTGATGGTGACTTATGGGTTATTTGGTGTTGTAGAACTGTTGAAACATATTGCAAAAGACTGTTATGATTTATTTCCAGTTTGTCAAGCAATGGATAAAGAATCCAAGGTTGAGTTATTTCACAGTGCATTACCGTCCAAGCAGCTGATTTCAGTTTGAAAAATAGATTTGACTAACTTGGTGTCTGTTGAACTCCAAACGAACAACGCTTCAAGAGCTCCCTCTGGTGTGGAAAACAGCAACACCAAAGGAAAGTGACTTTCCTCTGTCACATGGGCAAACTGCAGCAATTCACAATTCGAGTGTATATAAAAGAAAACTTGAGGAGATCAGAAAAGTAATAACTTAAAAAAAAGACATGTTTTGTTCCAGATCAAACCATTTTATTTCCTTATTGCCCCACTTTCATCCAACTGAAGTGAAAAGACAGTAAGAGTGGCTTTTAAATCATTAAAGTACACCATGAAGTCAAGTAAGAAGCACAACTGTAAACAACATTTTTTTTGCCCTGTAAATTTTTCATATGATTGAGCGATTCAGACTGTGGGATGTAAGCAAATCTGCAATTCGATCGGTCTTAGTACCTACAAATTCTTTGACTTTTATGTTCAAATAAACGAATGGAAAAGGAGACTAAATACATGTAACAGCCAGTTTGAAACATTCCCTCCAGTCAGAAAATGACGCTTATTGTACCGACACTGTTAACAGCGTAAAACGCACTGGGGGGGGGGAGAGAGACAGGAGCTTGAAATCTGGAAAATTGGATTTGAGTGGTGTTTTGGACAAACGAAGCATCAGTCAGTGTGTACCGCGTCGTTCCTTCTGCTGATGAACTTTTCCAAATAACCGATTCGTACGGACTGACAGACCAGCAGGAAAGGAGCTACGACATTATGACCCATTTAGTACCAAGATTTACATTAAATAAGCTTAAATTCTACCCTGATAAAGCTGTGCCCCGCCATTTCAGAATGAAACCGTTTGCCTCTTTTCAGACATGGACTTTTGTCCTTGAAAGCTCAGAACTTAGTAAAAAAGGAAAATAATTATGATTTAGACCACAGTGAGTCCATCTCTGCTGGAGGATGATGGGAGACATAAAGGCTGGTGGATTTTCCACACGTTGGCTGTAAACAAAAAGGCAAACGTATGCCTTCGTATCTCAGCTGATGGCCTAACCTCCAGCCGTTTCCCCTCCCCGCTTGACCGATCTCAGCTGGAATCTTTTGCTCTGACCTCAGGACTTGTCTGAGGAGAGAGCGCAGTCAAAAGAAGCCGACAGCACCTTGCAGATGGACTGGGCCTGCTCCTGCATCGGGAAACATACACACACACGTACCGGGAGATAAACAGGAGGATGTTTCAGTGACAGAGTTTGGATGCGTAGCTTTTATTTGGAATCATTTATTTGGATGCGGCACTCACTGAGCTGCTGCACTGGTACACCCAGATGCTGCACTCCTCTTGTTTGGAGTCGGTGGTTTTCAACGCTAAGAGGTTCTTCCCCGCTCCCAGGCCGTCGTCGTAGCACAGCATGCGCACTATCAAGTAGAGAGGGTGTCGATGCAGCACGTCCTGTCCAGAGGAAAGGGTTCAACACATCTGGCCATCCATCTTCTCCATGCGTAACATGCGGTCCAGAGACATCTGAACGGCTTCCGCCATCCAAAGGCTCAGCCGGCTATTTTGATCATGCTTTGGCTGCTCTGCCACTCACACATTGGTCAAGGGAGGCCACTTTGACCCCATACTTGGACACCACCAGGACCATCTCCTCGTCTCCAGGAACGAAAGGCAGTTTTCCGTCTTGCTGTGAAAAAAAACAGACAAACAAAAAGACAAAATAGTTTTGAGCATCTTCACGGCCGGTTAGATGGCTACCCTGAAGGCAGCACACAAATGTTTTCCAGCTTCGTACCTGAGCAGCATCAATAAAGTTAATGAGGTCCAGAGGTTCCTGGAGGGTCTTGCTCATCTCAAACTCCAGGTTCTCAATGGATCCCACATACTTGACCCGAAACTCAGCACACGTCTCAGATGTGCTGTTGCCTGCAGAGACGCAGGGAAAAAATCCTTTGTTAGAAGACCGAAGGGCCACAGTCTAACAGAGTTTAACCGCTTCAATGACTGACCCGAGCTCTTTGCCGAATCTGTATCGAGGCTGGCGACGGTGCTGGATCTGGAGAGTCCTCCCAGACTGGAGTCCACAGACTGCAGCGAGACAAAAGCCGGGTTAGCGGGGCAGAGAGAGCTGCTGGCGGATCCCTACGGACAGCGTACGGTGCGGAACCTTGCTCTTGGTGCTGATCTCGCTGCTCTGAGAGCTGCTGCTGCTGTGCCGCTTCTTGACTTTCCGAAACATCCTTCACCATGACGACCACATCCAGACCGCCAGCTCCACCTACCTGAATCATTACAGCCCAAAGTCGTATTATGCAACCAAGAGTCCCTTCTCAAGTCTCAAACAGGATGATGAATAATTCAATGGGATATTATACTTTGAATAATGGATGATGCAACTGTTTCGGGGGCTGCTACACACTAATGTATAAAAAGGTAATATTTTTGGAAGTCCTATCCAACTTATGTGTTTGGAAAAGCTAATTTGGGATAAATAGGTCATTTAGGTGGAGGCCTGAGAGGGGCAGCTCGCAAACAGCAACCCAAAATACTGTTTCAGTACGAGGAAACCACACATAACAGACTTAAAGTAACATAAATTATGCAAAAAGTTATTCAAATCTAATTGTTACATCAATAGTTACAACGGAGATATAAACTTAGATTACAAGTAACACAAACATTTTCAACACCTCTGCTATTTTTGTTAGATTTATTATTTTTGTCCAAGAAGAGACTCATTTGACTTGAATGTGGGATGATGCATTCACTTGCTGTGGCTAATCTAACACCCCACCATTTAAGAAGATCAATAAATAACTTTAAGAACAGGAAATATTTAGAAAAATACACAGATAAAAACAAACAACCCCTTTTTTCCCTTCTTTTTACGCAAGCAAATAAAAAGATTTGATAAAACTCCACTGAAAATGCGCGATACCACAGCGTAATAAACCTTATAACGAGGCTCCAAACGGACCGCAGCGTTCACAGGAAACTAACGTCTGATACACCTGCTGCGGCAACGAACAGCGTCAAGCATCACGGAGGGTGTTTTTTAAAGAATTGGACAAGAGGGGAACAGGTAAATGAACTTATTTGGGAAATGACACGCGCTCCCATGACAAAAAAAACTCAAATTTAAATGTAAAAGACTCAACAGGTTGCACAATTGTCGTCAATCAAACCTCAAGCTACCTAAAATGCCCAGTATGCATCGTTTCCCATTAATTAGAGGCGCACGCGGACAGAAACAGCCACGTTTTGATACAGCTCGTTGCAAAGAACCACAAATGCCCCCCGTCGCTTTCATTTACAAAGTTGAAAACCAGCAACTTCGACTGACCACCGTCAGTAAAAAAAATAATAAAAAAATAACTGACGCACAAAAATCAGCACTCTTAACTAACTTGCGTACCTGTTTTTGTTTTTGGTTGTCTTCTTCACTGCGCCTGCCCAGGGGTCTCCTTTCGGAGACAATTTTCTTCAAATACGTTGTGTATGTACCGTCTGTTTGAGTCTTCAGTTTCCCTTTGAGTTCACAAGCCTCCACCCAAACCCACTTAAAGGGGAAGCACCCAAATACTCAACTGAAAAAACAGGAAATATAAATTCTGGAACTCAAAGTCAGTGAATATCACGTATCATTAATATGGTAAACAGTATAAAGCCACACAAATAATTCACAGTTCAGTACGTATCTGTATTATTGATATACCCTGTCGTTTAGCGGAACCTTAATAAGAACTGCTGATTTTAGACGGTCATATTTTGGAGGTGCTACCGGAAAGTCTGTTGCTCTGAAGAAACGCCCATCTTTTTCATTCAGAAAATGTCAAGCACAGTGCACTGTGACCGCATTCATTTGTCTATTTCCACATCAATAAACTGTAATATTTTGTACGAATGGCTACTAAACGTAAAGTAGATATATTTGTACCAGCCGAAGAAAGCGACCAGCTTCTTATTCGTCCTCTGTGAGTTAAGACATTTAAATAAATTATTTTTTGAGACACTTTTCTTTGTATCATCTGCTACAATCATCATCCAGGCCTGTAAAACGAAGCCAAATGAGAGTATCCGTGATATTCAGGTTATATTAACATCAAGATATATCAGCCTGCTCCCAGGCATTCTCATGTCAGCAGCACTAAATGCGTTTGTATGCTAAAATAGTCATTTTTGTAAAGCTTGATTCAGTCGACCTTTGAATATCTGAAAATAAAAGGTATTATTTGAAGCATTTGTTCTTTTTTTTAAATTATTATTGAAAAAACAGTGTTATATTCTGATAAATCTTTTGGATTGACTGTCATTAATGTAGCATTTTGAAGCACATATTCACCAACAATGCATCCTCTTACTGGTTAAAATTAGTTAATTTTATTTTTGCATAAGATTTTTTTAAACATACAAAGTAAAAATCTGATATAATTAGACCAAACTCTTCATGGATACCCCTGCAGCACATTCATCATAGTACAGCTATCGTTTCATTTTCTTTCTATTACAGTGGTGCTGGTCAAGAGGTTGGAAGATCATGCATTATCCTGGAGTTCAAAGGGAGGAAAATAATGGTAGATATGATCAACTTGATCCATACTTGCTGCTGCGACCTCACATAATATGTGGTTACCAGAAAATGTTGATGTTTCAATTATCATGGATGAGGAAAATTAATTAAGAAATTAACACTTGTGAAAAAAAATTCAAATGAGAAATGTCCACCTCAGTTTACAGCAAATGCGTGTTTTATACATTGTTATTGGAGCCATCAAGCAGGATTAAAAAAGAAGAAATTACAATTTAAGCTCCTAGACAGACACTGTAGCGCCTCCTGGAGTTCCAATACCCTGAATATCTAAAGAATATATGCTAGCAATTTGCCAGGGCAAAAGGATTTATTAAAAATAATGAATAAATTATTATATTGTGTTAAACGAGTTCAATAATAAACACTATTGGCAGCTGGACTGTGGCATTCACCCTGGCTTGGAGGGAATGGACGCACTCCCCTACATAGACTTGATCGACCCAGCAGAAATAGACCTCCTGCTCATCAGCCAGTGAGTCTTTGCTCTGTACTTCTACTCCTTCATAAATGAAGGTTTTCTGAAGGTTTGCTGCACCAATTTCAGGCTTCTTTTTTTGTGTTCAATCTCAGATTATTCACTTTTGTTCTGCTTCATCATTTGTGTTATTTAATGTCAACATTCATGCTTTGACTTCAGCTTCCACTTGGATCACTGTGGAGCTCTGCCCTGGTTCCTCCAGAAGACCAGCTTCAAAGGGAGGACTTTCATGACTCACGCCAGTAAAGCCATCTATCGCTGGTTGCTATCAGACTACGTCAAAGTCAGGTTGGAGCAGAAGTGCTTGTCTATCGGAAGGCATCTTTCTTTGTGGAATTATTGATGAGTCGTACAGCTGTTCTTGTTTTTTGTTCTTTCAAAAATCGCAGCAACATCTCTGCGGATGACATGCTCTACACTGAGACTGATCTGGAGGAGAGCATGGATAAGATCGAAACGATCAACTTCCACGAGGTCAAGGAGGTGGCTGGAATCAAGTTCTGGTGCTACCACGCTGGCCACGTGCTGGGAGCAGCCATGTTCATGATCGAAATAGCTGGAGTCAAAGTAAAGTATATTTCACTACAATTACTTTGTGTCATTACATAATTGTTTTATTGATCTCAGGCTTTCTCACAAGTCTGCTGTCTGTTAACCCCCCCCTCCACCACTCTCCAAAGCTGCTGTACACCGGAGACTTCTCCAGACAAGAAGACAGGCATCTGATGGCAGCTGAGATCCCAAGTGTCAAACCTGACATCCTCATCATAGTATGGGAAAGTTAAATACAGCCATTCACAAAGAACATCAGTGTTAAAGGATTTTGAAGGAGGACATGATGGGTGTTTATCTTCCTGTAGGAGTCCACCTACGGCACTCACATCCATGAAAAGAGGGAAGAGCGTGAGGCCCGCTTTTGTAACACCGTCCATGACATCGTCAACAGGGAGGGTCGCTGTCTAATCCCAGTCTTCGCCTTGGGACGCGCCCAGGAATTGTTGCTTATCTTGGGTTCGAAGTCCCCTTTGGCTCCCCGTTCAACATGCACAGCACATGTCCTGATGGATTGATTTCTTTTTTTGGCTTAATATTGCCCATATTCTCAGATAGCTCCGCTCTTTTTTTCCAGCTTTGCTCTGTTATCTCTCTATGAAATGCGTTGTGTCCTGTTTCAGATGAATACTGGCAGAACCACCCAGAACTGCACGACATCCCCATCTATTACGCCTCATCCCTGGCCAAGAAGTGCATGGCTGTGTACCAGACCTACGTCAACGCAATGAACGACAAGATCCGCAAGGCCATAAACATCAACAACCCCTTTGTCTTCAAGCACATCAGCAATCTGAAGGTGATCTGCACACCTTGTTTTTCTGCTTTTAAATTCCTGGTGAAGCACTTTGAATTGTATTCTACACGAAATGTGCTATACGAATAAATTTGCCTTGCCTTAACACTGTCCGCTCTTTGCAGAGCATGGATCACTTCGATGACATCGGCCCCAGTGTGGTGATGGCTTCTCCTGGCATGATGCAGAGCGGACTGTCCAGGGAGCTCTTTGAGAGCTGGTGCACCGATAAGAGGAACGGCGTCATCATCGCCGGATACTGCGTGGAGGGTACGCTGGCTAAGGTCAGAGCACGGACAGACACGGACAGTTTCTCAGCAAAGTGAGCAAATCGTTTATGGATTCGTCTGCTTTCTCGGGGCAAAAGGGGCACCCACTTACTGACGTTGGCACACAGTCAAACATCCAGATGGATTTACCCATAGTCAGTTTTATTTTTTGTGGTTATTTTGAATTGACCATGTGACTTGTGATATCAAATGTGACGGTGGTGTGCAGCACATCATGTCAGAGCCGGAGGAGATCACCACCATGTCGGGTCAGAAACTGCAGCTGAAGATGTCGGTGGACTACATCTCCTTCTCCGCTCACACCGACTACCAGCAGACCAGCGAGTTCATCAGGGCTCTGAAGCCCCCGCACGTGGTAGGCGGGGGGGCCATGTTTCTGTGCCCAACACATTTTTCTTGCAGTCAGTTAAACGTTGGTTCCGCTCCCAGATCCTGGTCCACGGGGAGCAGAACGAGATGGCCCGCCTGAAGGCTGCTCTGATCAGGGAGTACGAGGACAACGACCAGGTTCACATCGAGGTCCACAACCCTCGCAACACGGAGGCCGTCACTCTGAACTTCAGAGGAGAGAAGCTGGCCAAGGTGCACGCACAGCCATCTTTTTGTTTTTTTTCATGGATTTGTTTGTGATTGACTGCTCGTGACTTTTGTTTTTTTTAATGTTTTTTTTAAATCCCATCTTTGAAAAGTTGGCACGTGTTCTGAAATACAAACCCAAATCCAGAGTGTGTTCATTCTTTTAACCTTTTCATTTAACAGACGCATGTCCAAGAAGTTATTTTGATCCCATCTACTCAGTGAAAAACCTGTGGACAGGCATGATTACCATCGTTTCTCATCACTCCTTCTTTTTTATGTCAGTTTTAAGTGTTGGGAACTGAGGATACGAATTACTGGAATTTTTTTGAAGACTTTTCTTTGAAAATGGGTTCGTACAAATGTTTCACATCCTAAAACCAAAACTACAATGAGCGTACTGAGGATTTCTCCCTCCCTCAGGTGATGGGTTCTCTGGCTGATAAGAAGTGTGTTCAGGGTCAGAGGGTGTCCGGGATACTCGTCAAGAAGAACTTCAGCTACCACATCCTCAATCCATCCGACCTATCAAGTAAGATCCTCATTGATAAAACTGTGCCGCTTGGAGTCTTTAACTGTGGCGCTTCTGTAACCGTCCTCCACTGCCGCCCGTCCGCTGTAATGGAGTCTGTGTTGTGTTTGCAGCGTACACAGAGCTGGCCATGAGCACCGTGAAACAGACCCAGGCCATCCCCTTCACTGGGCCCTACTCCCTGCTGGTCTGCCACCTGAGGAACCTCACCGGTAACACTTCCCATCTCATTCATTCCTTCCTTCATTTCTCTCTCACGGGCTAACCGGGTTTGTCTGCCTGTCTCAGGGGACGTCGAGGAGCTGGACGGAACAGAGAAGAACACTTTGAGGGTCTTTAAAAACGTCACCCTGATCCAGGAGGCCGGCATGGTGCTGCTGGAGGTGAGAGGCCACAGTCGGCCAGCCCCCGGGACGCAGAGTTAGCATTCGCAGCTCACACAGCCCCTTTTGCTTTTGTCCCCCGTGGCAGTGGGTTACCAACCCGCTGAACGACATGTACGCCGACGCCGTCACCACCGTGGTCCTGGAAGTCCAGTCAAACCCAAAAGCTCAGAAAGGTCAGTTGGGCCACGCCAGCTGTTTGTCTGCTGCTTTCCTCAGATGTTTATGAAAAGTATGAAGCCAACATGAACTTTAGCAAAATGCCGTCAAATCAGGGACTATTTATTCTTTATTTTTTGTGTCATTCCCAGTCATGGAGACTCAGAGTGCCGTTATGGACATGGATGTCTTCCAAAGCCGAATTGAGGTCATGTTGCAGTGAGTTGTGCTTTAGACCGCACGTGAGGGCGAGTACGCCTAAAACCGGTTAACAGCAACCCTTTTCTGCCTTTTGATTGGTTCTGTGTCGGCCGTGTTCTCAGGGACATGTTTGGAGTGGAGTGCGTGGACTTCAGTGACAGTAAAACCATCTCCGTGACCGTCGACGGCAAAACGGTTCACATTTGTCTGGAAACACGGGTGAGCAGGGCGAGGGTCCAGAGCTGGTTGGCTTTGAGCTTTGATTATCCCGATGACATCTTTTCCCCTCCCCAGTCGGTGTGCTACGAGGACGAAAGCACAGACGACGACTCCCTGAGAGAGATGGTGGAGCTGGCCGTGCAGCGACTCTACGACGCCCTCAACCCAGTTATCTGAGGTCTGTGGACAGGTCTCCAACCGAGATTTACAGAGAGGAAAACAGCTGGAGTTTTCCTCATCTCACCCGGGTACAAAACAATAGCCGAGTCCAGGCTGTCATCCATTGGACAACTCTAAAGAAGAGAAGAACATAAGCTATTTTATGTATTAATGTTACTAATTTAAGTATTGTGGTGTTTAATAATACAAGCACTTTGTTTTAATTATACAGTATTAACGTGTAGGATTTGGACTGTGTTGTGTTTTGTAACCTTTCAATGGTGATTTTAACTGTGAAATTTTGAGCGCACTTTGTGTTCGATGTTCTTCGAAATACACGCTTGTTTGACTTTAACTGGTTTGATAATCGGCTTAATAGTTTTTACATCATGCTACTTTCAAACGATCAAACGGAATAATTTATCAAAGCAGGCAGGGCTCGTGTGGGGAATTTAATTTCACAAGGTAAATTTTAGTGGATTGCAAATGAAATGCCTTAATTTACACTTACATTTTGTTTTATGACTGGATGACTGTTTATAGATATTTTTTTAAACACTGGAATTCTTTATAGTTTTCCTAATTTCTCAGAGACAATAATTGATTGTTTCCTTCCACATGTCATATCGGGGTTGACATTTTTAAGCATTTTTAAGATAATCTATCTTTTTTGAGTCTGGCTTCTTAAATACTGATGTGTTGTGCACTAGGCTCTCGGTGCAGGTAGTGACAACCATCCCAAATCTTTATTGAAACATGACACAGAGACCAGCAGCATGACAGCACGTCATGTCACCACCTCAGCTTATTAGAAAGTGCACAAGCCCTCAGTTTTCCCTCCAAAAAGTTCAACAGATTAATTTGTTTAAATGCTGCTCACTGCTGCATTTTAAATGAACAGTGACACGCGGATTAAAAGTGACCAGCACTGGTCATAAGTTAGGTTTCTTTAAATCACCCATATCCAACCTCTGACACTTATAATAAACACCTTCTAAGGCACGCTCTTCAACAGAAACATTCAGGCCTCCAAGTCATGTCCTTGTATTGCTATAAATATTCCATAAATAGCAGTAGTTTAAGCCACAACCAACACTTTCCAAGCCATTAAAAATAATCAGATGTGCTGGAGTAAGTGACTTTATGAAAGTCAAAACAAGTTGAGATGAAGTATCAAACGGTTGTGAGTCAACCGCTGAAGCTCTACAGTGTTCACAGGCTTATTGGCACGGAAGAGGATGACAGAAGATGGTGAACCAAAGCAATATGGAAATTTAAGGGTGGTGTTCAGTGTGGTGGGCTTGTTCCGTGGTGCTTGCTTGCTCACGTCCCAGTTCAGAATAGCCCCAGGAAAAACATTTCACAACCACACTTTACAAAGAAGCCTCATCAGCTGGAACAATCTCAAGCTCGTCAACTTTCTTGATAGTTATTCCAATAAGTGGGTGGGTGGGTGGGTGGGGTCGTTTACTGGAGCAAGAGAAGGCGGTGTCCATCCCCAGTGCTAAGCTTCTCTAAGCACTTCACCTTTAACTTTGGTTTAAACTCAGAAGGATCCCCATGGCGAATATCATGAGCATCCCCACTCCAACCTCCATCATCTTGTCCAACTTCTTGTCCCCCACGCTGGTCTGCTTCTTCTTCAGGATGTCCTCCTTCCGGACCCGGATGTCTCGTTGTCTCTGCAGCTGCTCGTTGTAGTGGGACTTGTAAAACTCGTCGAAATCGAAAATGCCCCCCCGGCTGTCCGTGCCCATCACGGAGCGCCTGTTCTGGGCGAGCGGGCCGGCCGAGCCGTCGCCGGCGTCCTTCGCGGAGGGCCTGACCGTCGCCGTGAGGTCCGAGAGGCTTAAGAGCCCCCGGTCGTACTTCTTCCGGAGTCCCTTGTTGCCCAGCACCGTGTAGGCTTCGCTGATCTCAGAGAAGCGGACGGTGGCCTCCTCGCTCCCGGCGTTCCTGTCCGGGTGGTAGACGAAGGACTGCTTGTAGTACGCCGTTTTTATCTGGGCTTGCGTGGCGATGGGTGACACCTCCAGGATTTCGTAATAGCCGGTTTTGGTTCGGTACAGAGGCTCGGACCTGCCCCCGTCGCTGCTAAACCCTCTGGCGGAAACCAAGTGCCCCAAGTGGGGATACCGACCGCCGCCAGTCCGCTGAAGGCAGGAAGCGGGGGACAAAGTCCTCAAAAACTTGGCAAAGTTTCGGTATCCAGGGAGGGTCAAAACTTGTACGCCACGATAATGACAGTTTTCGGCTATATGCTCCTTCTCTAAATCATCTAAGACTCCACCAACCAGCTGTGCTACCCTTGAGTAACTGTCCAGGGACACTCCACTCGTCCTCGTTTCCGATGGATTTTCGGCTTCGTGGTCCGTGTCATCCGGCGGAAACCCGGCCGACGGGGAGGGAGTGTGTGCCGCTCTCCTGTCCCATTTGCTCTGGCTCCCCGGGAGGCAGCGGCCGTAGCCCTTTAGAGCAAAGATGTGGGCTCTGAGGCCAGCAAACTGACTGACCTCCGCCATGTTTCCAGGGACGAGCCCGGTTCGGGACGGCTGGTCTGAGCGCAGCGCCCCCCAGCGGAGGGAGGGCAGCGTTACAGGCTGCTCCACAGCCAGAAGCCAACGACCGAATTCAGCAACGGATAGCAGCTTTTGAAAGTAGGAAATTAAGTGTTTTAACAAGAACAAAACAGGCCCAGTGTCGCTCGTTTGATAGGTGTAACATATGAAAAATGAACGAAATAATAAACTCACGACAGATTCATTTGTTTCGAATGAAACCAAACTTTTGTCAGATTAATTGTTAGTAAATCTGCGAACAAAGCCACCACTTCCGGACTCGAGAAAAATGACAGTTTGGCTCGTGTGGCTGGGTCGAAAAGAGCCTCGGCTCTTATTATGAAGTAGGGTGCAATTGTTTCCTTCACCGGAAGTTCGGCTCTCTTTGCGGTGTAGTTCCACCTGTGCGGGTCTACGAGAACAGTTTGCCCTCACAATGATATATCTTCTTTATTAGGCAGCGCGGGCTGTGGCCGCTCGGGTGTCCGAAAACGAGCCTCGCTGACTCCCATCACCATGGTCAACCTCTGCTGCCTCTGCTGCGGTGAACTCCCTGAGCCCCGCCCCCCCGCGCCCGGCCGGCCGGGAGCACCGCAGCAGCATCAGCACCAGCACCAGCACCACCAGCAGCAGCCTGCTGGCTCCGGCCCAGACGCTGTGGGGCTGAGGGCTGCTCAAAGGAGGGCGGCAAACGGGGGCATATCTGCAGCAAAGCGAGTGGATGAAGATGCATGAGCTGGAAATTTCCCTCTGACATGCCAAAAAGCGCAGCATGCTCTCTTCGGAACAGGACTCTGCAGAGGACACGGTGGCCAGCGGAGCCAATGATGCTGAGGGAGAGGAGCAGGAGGGAGGCTCGTCTCCTGTGCGTGCTGTCCCGGAGGAAGTAGGTTCAGATATGGCAGATTTTTAGTTTTTTTTTCTTTCTTTAAAACAAATTCAATTTTATTATGATAGATATAAAGAAAAAAGTAAGAATAGTGAAGATATCAATCCACACATTAGGTGCATATTGATGTAGTTTGAGATTGGATTCTTTTGGAGTTTTGTGTTCCCCACTTACTTGGAATCATTAACTCTGTGCCATCGCATTGCAGCTGCTGTCGCCTGTCAAACACGTAATCTTTCTGAAACATAGTCTCCAGTAAATGTACTGTCATTGAAAACTTACAGCAAGTTCGCTGTTCCAGTGCTTCAAGACCTACGTTTGCCCGCTTTTACACAGCATTCGTTGCACCGTGCATCCTGTCTCTATGTAGTTAGAGAACAAATACTGTGATTAGTTTTCTGCAGTCAACCCTAAAGAGAAAGAAAGATGTCGGATAAGTTGGTAAGATATGATGCCCGGGCATAACAATTCAGGAATCTTTCTTTCTAAGATCAGCAACATGGGCCTTTATCAAAATGTTACTTCATTACAGATATTTTACTGAGAATGAGGATGTACACCAACGGTACTTTATCTCTACAGATGCAGACGGTTGTGTTATTTTGAATGTTGACTCAGCTGGTCAGTCAGATATTTCATTTCAAGATGAATTTAGGCGGACGTTGGTTTTGAACAGCTGATTTTCATCTAATCAAACTGAAGATGTTTCTTCACTAATGTGTTCAAAGTAAACAAGTTCAGTCAATATCATAACCAGTCATGAGGAATGGATACTGTGACGTGCTCCATTTTTGGAAAAACCAGAATTGAATCCCAGTGTCCTCTTTCAGTGACTGAGGTGGAAGCAGCAGTGTGCGTGGTCCCCTCCACAGCGTGGGGCAGTAATGGATGGCAGGCTGTCAGCATAAATCCTCTCACTTCATAAAACACCAGTGCTAGTCAACAACACAGGGGTGTCATGTGGAGGAACATCAGCACGAGTGCCAGATAAAAATATATTGGACCATTGCACCATGCACAGATCCTGAGAAAGCACCCGGCAGAACCGCCCAAAATTAGCTACAATAAGGCGCCAGCTTCTTTTACGGTTAGTGTTACTGATTGAATAGCCTGGAGTCAGGCCCTTTTCTGAATGAGAGCCTTTGAGTGCTGGGCAGTATTGCTAGTGCGAGCACTTTGTGATTCTCTGATAGTCCGGCGCTCTGAGCTCACAGTGCTCAGCAGATAAAGCTGTGAAATGCTTTAATATGGAGGACGCATTCAGTCCCTTTACGCATAGAAACGTACGGCTAAAGGTGCTACTCAGCAGCAGATCGCTGTGAGGATGGTGTTTGATGACTTCTTGAATATTTATTTTGTCATACAATAAAATTGGAATCAAACTGTGAAAACATACCTTGTTCGGCTTAATGAACCGTTTCCGTGGGCCACCACAAGGTTTAATCGAACTCCTCTGAGCTCTCTTTAATGTGATTTACTTTGTGCTTAAGTATGGAAAAGCTCTGCAATTTATAGATTAGATCCATTAATTTGCATTTTCACTCTGCGGCAAGCCTCGGAATCACTGGCATGTTGAAGGAGTTCATTGCTTTGAGTGCCTTGTTCTCATTAATCTTTTCTTTCTTTTTTTTTGGTCTGTGTCTTCCCTGCAGCAGCATCCAGTCCAGCAGTCCCTGGGGGACTGTGTGTGCCGGGAGACTCACTGGCGCTGCCTGCTGCTCTCCCTGCTCATGTACAGCTGCCTGGCCGTGGTGGCCTGGTGTCAGCTGACCCGGGTCACCAAGATCAGCTTCAACTCGGCCCTGACCTCCTCCCTTTCGGCCTCCTTCACCTCCTCCCTGCGGGGCGCCTCGGGAATGGGCGGGATGGGAGGCCACTCCATGATCTACCACGACAGCCCGTGCGCCGACGGTTACATCTACATCCCCCTGGCCTTCCTCTTCCTGCTCTACGCCGTGTACATGGCCGAGTGCTGGCACTGCCGGGCCCGGAGCCAGCTGCAGTCCAAAGCGGGCGTGGCCAGCGTGTACGAGCGGGTCCTGCGCATGCAGCAGGCCCAGCCGTGCATCTGGTGGAAGGCCATCAGCTACCACTTTGTCCGGCGGACGCGGCAGGTCACCCGATACCGCAACGGGGACTCCTACACCACCACGCAGGTGTACCACGAGCGGGTCAACACCCACGTGGCCGAGGGCGAGTTCGACTACAGCCGCTGCGGGATGCGCGACGTGTCGCGTGACCTGAAGGGCCTGGAGGGCCACCCGGCCACCCGCCTGCGCTTCACCAAGTGTTTCAGCTTCACCGAGGCCGACCCCGAGAACGACTACCTCAACCAGAGGGCGCGTTTCTTCTCTGAAATAGAGGGTTTGGATGACTACATGGAGGCCCGGGAAGGCATGCAGCTAAAAAACGTGGACTTCAGAGAAAACCTGATTGCCTGCGTGGACCCGGACCGGATGCCCTGGTACACTTCCCAGGTTGCCTTCTGGCTGGCAGCTCTGCTCATGCTCTCGTGGCCCCTGAGAGTCCTCACTGAGTACCGTACCGCGTATGTGCATTACAGAATAGAAAAGCTATTCGGGCTGGAGTACATTCACAATAGCCCCTCTCCCCTTGACGGGCACGGGCCTTTGGGGGCTAACCCGGCCTGCGCTATTCCCAGAGTAAACACGTTTGACAGCACCGACATGGAGTGGCACATACGCTGCAACCGCCAGCTGATTCCCAGCTACTCGGAGGCCATGCTGATGCACATGACCGCGGCGAGCGCGTCGGCCCAGAGGCGCGGAGCCTCACCGGGCCAGGAGGGCCGCGGCGAGGGGAGCGGGCGAGCAGCGGCGGGAGGAGGCCAGAGGAGGCCCCCGAGCAGCTCCAGCTGCTCCTCCATCTTCTCCCGCAGCGGAGCCCCTCTCCACTCCCACCTCTCGTCCGACACGTCCCGGTTCTCCCTCTGCCGCATGTACGGCTCCCTGCACACGGTGGCTCCGTGGAGGAGCCGCAGCAGCAACCTGTCGGAGCCCGAGCAGCTCTGCCGCTCCGACTCCAGTCAGCTGGCGCTCAGCGACAGCCCACCCACCTACAGAGACGCCCGCTTCTTCCCCGCCCTCATCGTGCATTGGTCTGAGGGCGGTGAGGACAGGAGGGAAGCCAGGCGGTACTACATACGGAGGTCGTCGTGTGCCGAATCTGCTTTTTAAATGGATTTTTTTAACACATCATTTTCTACTTCTGAACACGATTCCAAAGTGTCACAATGCTGAATTGCACTTTAATGTTAAGTTGAACGAGGAAGACATTTTTTCAGCTGTGCGAGGGTGTTTGTCCCATCCATCGACGTCATTCTTTCATCGTTGCATGATCTGTGCAGCCTGCTAACAGCTAGTTAGAGGCTGGGGCAGTTGTGTTATTCTGGTCGGTGAGATTTGTTCGATACAGCTTTAGAGTTGACCCAAAAAAGCAACAGAAAGGCGTACAGCGCAAAATGAAGACACCCCAAGAGAACACCAGCAGTAACTTATCCTGACAGTTAATGCATCTTGTGTGTCTCTCTAGTCAAATAGGGTCAAAGGTCAATGACTAGTGCAACGCAAACTAAAAGAAAGACCAAATGCATTTAGAGGCTGTATTACTGTTGGGCATGATGCAGTTTTTTTCACATGTAAGTATTTATTTGGATAAAAAAGGGCACCAAATCTTCTGCACGATGTCATGTGTTTCACATAAATGTCTCCCAATGTAAAAACCTTTTGTAGACACAAAGCTTGTATGTTATGTACCTGTGTGAGCGTGAAGAAGATGGTTTGTCTAAAAGGCAAATGGAAGAAAAATGGAAGAAAAGCTGCATGTTGTCTCCAGTCATATTACCTTATAATGGATTAGCCGGTAGTAAGCTCACACCAAAGATATGCTATCTTTAATCATCATGATCATTTCACTGAAACCTGTGAAAAAGTCATAAGAAATGGAATGCCCAGGAGAAAAGAATAAAGAATGCGTTAGAAGTATTTTTTCACACTGCACAAATTTGTGAATTGGTATATTTTCAGGCTAATAGGGGATTAATTACATCATTTGGATGCACATTAAAGCTGTTTAAAGCAGCCTTGAAATAAATTATTGAAAAGAACTGAGACAAGATAAGGAAACAAGGTCTGAGTGGATAACATTTAACTGACTGAAAAATAAGTTTCTTGGTTTGCCTGTTGGCACAAAGTGTGATGAAGTAGATCTTTTAGATAGATTTAAGACTTTGCCTCAAGTGTCATCAGAGTAAATGGAACAACTTCAATACAGGTAACACAGCCCCCATCAAAGGTTTGAACAAACTACACTCAAAATGAGTGGGTTAAACCATAATGTATACTGTTCCACTGCTTGTACAAATCCCAATGTTCAAAGTCCAGTCTTTGAACTTTTAACACATTGACGTCCTGACCGGAATTGATAAGGTATAGATGTAGAGGAGCCTTCACTTCTTGTCTTGAGTAGCAACTGTTTCTGTAGTGGTTTTTATGTTAAATTCACTATTGACGTTTTAATAAATGGTGCCCTTATGTATTTCAAGGACAATAATTACTTTATGCAAGAGGATTTATGTATATGACCTAGTCTAAAAAGATTTTAAAACAATCAAACAACGTCATTTAAAACGTTTTAAAATATAAAAATGTGTTAAACTACAAAAGACTGTCTGGTTCAGGTTTAGAAAATATGAACACTCTGGGACTGGGCTGCCCAAAGGCCAGTTCCTACTCATTTGGCAGCCATGTTGACCTCGACCAAAGGATTAGATTAAATGAGCTTCTTAGTTTATAGGTCAGACACGTTGACCTTAAAGAAAACCGTTCTTCTTCGTAACATTGCGAACATATCACGCTTTGTGTGTACATGTATGACGATGGTCTCACAGCAGAGCTCGGAAAAAAAAACACACTTTCCCCGCTTTAATTGAAAGAGTTCTGGAGAAAACTGGCGAGAACATCCTCGCACGGCGTTCAGATGAAAAACTGATGTTTCAGCAGGAGAAGTTTCACTCGCACTCGTGTAATTCAGCACTAGTGTGTGTGTTGTTTTTCTCCGTTATATCAGACCGGACAGTGGTCAGCCTGGGCGAGGGGACGGGGTCCGTCCCGCTGACCAACTCGCGCCAGAGCTCTCATAACAACCGCCTTTTGACGTCACTTCCCACGCGCGCGGAGGCTATGCTAACAGCAGCTAACCAGCTGACAGCCAGAGGAGAGTACGGGACGTTTCCAGCCTGTCAAGTCCTGCCGGGGAACTGCAGTTGCCCGTGGGTATGGCCGCTTTAGGTGGTGTGTGGTCACTTTGACCCGTGTCCACGCGCTGCTGCTGCTCTCTGGACAAGGCTTGCACTGTTGTTGACACACACGACGAGCGCGGGTGCGGATCCGCTTCCTCCGCGCTGAGTTGCTAGCTTAACTTTTCTTTTCTTTTTCTTTTTTTTCTTTCGCGGAAGTTTTCCTCGGACATGCATCCAAACCCTTTATTCTCTCTGACGCGGCATTAAGCCGAACTGAAGTCGTCGGTCACCGCTTGCGATGAAGCTTCAGTGTGATGTCGAGGTGGTGAATCGGATGCTCCCCTCTTACGGGATGAAAAGTCGAGGGAAGGGAACCAGAGCAGTGCTCTCCATCGGGAAACATTTGGACAAGACGAGTCAACGCAGCAATATCTACATGATGATCTGCACAGCCAAAGACAGGGCAGGATCCAAGTACAAGGTGTGAGCCATTGTTGTTGTTGCTGCTGGTTTTTCTGGCACATTGTTGAAGCTAGAGCTTAATTTATTACTTATCTAGATCTGTCCTGCCTTCATTTGTTTATGTCGCTTTGATTGTGGGTTGATTCAGACTATTTTAGTACCACGTTTAAAATTCAGTACGATCTTCTTCTTCTATATTCTTATTTTAGAGATTGAAAGATAGTCAGATAACAGGCTTAAAACTAAGCAACAACCTGAGCTTTATTATGTAAATCAAGAAAATCTTGTATGTTCAGACTCAAAATGTAATCTTATACGCTATATATTTAGTTCAGGAAACTAATCAGTAGAAGTTTTAAACTGCAGTTTAAGATTTACAGAGAATTTTAAAACACCGCTCACATAATGAGAAGTAGAGTTGATCATTTTCGCTGTCACAGGTTTATCCAATCTACCAGCTCAAGACAAGTGGGAATGATTTTATAAAGATAGGCTTTAAGTGTAATTTAAATCCTTGTTTGAGATTTGGCGTGTTTACAAAAAGTTTGGGCGCTATCACATTGCCTGTCTCAACTTGCTCAAAGAATAGATCCGGCACGGTTGAAACATGACACACACACACGTCTTACTGTTGTGAAATGTTTTTTTCCACTCCTGATCTTTGTCAATTCATCTCTCAGCTGAAAGACAACATAGAGAAATTCTTCACCTGGTTTGTGGAGGAAGGAAAGGCGACTGTGAGATTAAAGGAACCAGCTGTCGACATTTGTTTGAGCAAGGTATGACATCTAACATGGTGTAATCGCATTCTAAGAAAGAGGATGACGATATGGGGAGATTGGTGTTTATTTTCACTGTACAGAGATAATAAGACCAGGCTTAAGCTGTTTTATCATTAATTTGTCCACCAAGTGCTCTCTGTGAATGTAACTATAGTAATTATGAACAATGGGAACCATAACAAGCTGTTTCAGTTTGTTAAAGCAAACATTTAAAAATACATTATTTGACAATATTCTTCAAGTCTGTAGAATACAATTTGTGCTTCTCTGCCAAGATTCTCGTGTTTTTTGTCTCTTTTTTTTCACTTCATGTACCACCCTACTCATATTTGTATCCCCAGAAGAAAAGAGTCCTCCTAGTTCATTGAAAAAAATCGTGTCAAGTTATTTTAGGCCATTGAATCCAGGTTAGATATTTCAAGGAAATCTGGTCAAACGCAGCCAACCAGCTGAGGAGGTGATCTGCTCTTAGTAGCATCTGGTCATTCTGCCTGCAAGTCTTTAATATGATCAGATGTATTCATTTATTGATTTATTCAATTGTAGGCTGACGCAAACAGCTTGAAGAACTTCCTCTCAGCAGCCCGTCTGGCACACAGAGGAAGTGACACGAGCAGCCTTCCCCTGTCCACGCTCACTCCTGTTCGGGCCAGAGACGTAGAGCAGCCAAAGAAGAAGCTCACCATCAACTCCAAGAAGGATTACCCCCTCACCTCCAACTTTCCATATTCACTGGAGCAGCTGCAGGTGTCCTACTGCAAACTGTCCCGGGTGGACATGCGCATGCTCTCCCTCAAAGGTAGCCTGGGTCGACTACGGGCTAAAAACCGTATCCAGGCCTTCAAAGCTTGGAAACTACTTTGACAACAAATTAGAAAAAATACAGTTTTGACGGGAAAAAACTGATTTCACAAAAAAAAGCAAACAAAAGTGTATAAAAACAATTCTTTACCTCACTACATCAATATTGAACACAGACATTTTTGTCAGGTCGTCTTTTATCTTTTGACTTCTCTCGTCTTTTCCTTTCGTTTCCCCCCCCAAAGCTCTCCGCAAACTGGACCTCAGCAACAACCACATCAGGAAACTCCCCGCCACTGTGGGTGACCTCAGCTGCCTCTCTGAGCTCATCCTCCACAACAACCACCTGGAAGCCTTCAGCGAAGCCCTCTGCCTGTCCACGCTGCAGCGGACCCTCCGGGTGCTGGACATCAGCCAGAACCGCCTGCAGTCCCTGCCCGCCCAGTTCTGCCAGCTCAGAGAGCTGGTCAACCTCAAGCTGGACGACAACGAGCTCGCGTGTCTGCCCTTCCACATCGGCCGGCTCTCCAAGCTGAGGTTCCTGTCGGCCGCACACAACCAGCTGGCCGTTCTGCCCGGCGACTTCCGCAAGCTGAGTCTGGAGAACCTGGACTTGTTCGGAAATCCCTTCGTCCAGCCCAATCCTCTGGACCACAAAATGCGACTCACATTCCCTCTCCCCCTCCAGGAGTTAGCCTCCAGAGCTGTAACTAACCTCAGGTCAGATGTGAACGCCTCCGGTCACAGCCAAACCGCTGTGGGTTTTTTTGTTTTTGTGTTTTTAGTTCTGACAGCTAAACCAACTTCCTCTGTCATTCGTCCTCCAGGATTCCATATGGACCTCACCTCATTCCGGCCCACCTGTGTGGCGACCTCGAAGTGGCCAAGACCTGCGACTGTGGCAGGGCCTGCATCAACTTCCACATCCGGACGGCCGTGAGCATGAACCTGCACCAGGTCTCTCACACGGTGGTGCTGGTGGACGACATGGGGGGCACGGACGCCCCCGTGCAGCAGCACTTCTGCTCCCTGTCCTGCTACTCCCAGTTCCTAGACAACTCCCTCCAGAGAGGAGTCAGATGAAAACACAGCCACAGGCCGGAAACGGCCGTGGGCGACACAGTTGACTTACTTTCATTTCCTTTTTTTAATTTTTTGTTTTTTAGTTCAGTTTTGTTGCAAAATGCCGTATGAGTTTTTGTTGCGCCGACCAGAGGAGGCAGCAGACCGGTGGTCCACAGGGGTGGTTGCTTTTAAATGGAGGGGAACTTTGGTTTTAAAATGGCTTCAAGCTGCTTGTTTTACACTTGCATTCTAACAGTATCTATCCTGTTTGGACCAGAGGGGCACTGACCATTAGTCCTGACAAAAACCCCTGTGCTGCCGGCAGGTCTCATCCTGTATCTCGTCTTTCTTCGTTTCTCCTGCCTTTTACATGAGACCGCAGCCCCCCCCCCCCCTCCCGCTGACCTGCTCCTCTAAGGCAGGGGGATAAAGAACGCTGTGCCTCAGAGTCCACTAGCAGTGGCTAAGGAGAGTTAGTTGTTATGGTGTAAATGACCAAGGTTTTTATATATAACTGAATAAAAATAAAGTATTCATTGTCTTTTGTAGTTTATTCTGATTTATTTAAATGTGTTTTTTTTCTCAGCAGTGGGTTTTGTAAAGTTTTTTAGAAGTAAATAACATGGAAACTCTGTGGCTGGCTTTCCCATCGGCCCCTCAGTCCAGCTCGTACAGCAGCTGGTTTTGGAAGTCGAACGCGGCGGTCGTGGAATGATCGCTGATCACCCTCTCATTTCCGTCCGCGTCGACCTCCCTCAGAAACGCGGGCTGGGGCTCGGCCCACTCGGCCGGTGGAAAGCTCGTCCCCGCCGGCAGGTCGTCCTCATCCGTCTCCTCCCTCTGCTCCTCAGAGGCGGAGGGAAACTCTGCTGAACGGAGGATGAGCTGCCTGTCGGAAACTGACCGGGGTTCCTCACCGGATGCGTCATTCAGATGTGCAGCGTCCGTTCCCACCTACGACAGGGAAATAAATAAAAAAGGATCAGCCTGGGTGGTTCACCCACGCCTGAACCCATGGCTCATTGGCTGGATTTCTCACCTGCTTGCCCCCTCGTCCCGCTTCTGTCTTTTCAGTCTCCTCTTGGTTATCTGAAGGATTCGTTTCGGCTGCTGACTCTAAAGCTGAAGTCAGGTTTTCTTCTTTGTCCTCAGCTTGGTGACCAGAATGTACATCGTAGATTAAAATGTGTCGATCCTCGTCTTTGGCTGCAGCCTGGAGTCTTGTATCTGCAGTAGAGTTTTCTTCCTCAGCAGAAGTCTCTGCCCTCAGGACTGAAGTGTCACCACATTCCAGGTTCTCAGCTGACCTGTCACAACTGTCTTCCTGTAGCTCATCATGGGGATTCATTGCATCACTTGTAGTTATGGACTGAAAAACTTCCCTATTCAGCTCCTGCTGCTCTGGTAAATCTTCTGTTTTCTGCTCCTCCCTCTGAAGGATCCTGTCCTTTCTCTCTTCCTCCTCGCTTTCTTGTCCTTCTCTCTCTGGTTGAGTCTTCCTTTCCTCCTGTGTACCAGTCTCCTCCTTATCCCTCAGCTCCCTTCCTGTCTTCCTATCTATTTGTTCTGCCTCTTGCTCCTGCCTCCCTCTCCATTCCCTCTCGTCCCCCTTGTCCTCTTCTTCAGCCACACCGCTCTCTCCCTGGCTTTCACTGTCACTCTGAAAGTCACTCGTGGGTGTAGTGGATCCAACCGAATAATCAAAAGCTTCAGCGGGAGGAAGAACGGGCAGTGTGACGGTCAGCTGCCCCTTCTGTTTACTGAACTTGGCCTCGCCTTTGTCTTCGTCCACGGGGTAGGCCAGCGGCAGCTCCAGCCTGTAGGCCGGCTTTTCGGACTCCAGCAGCAGGCTTTTTTGTTTAACTTCCAGGTTGGTGTTTGTGACGGACTTCAGGAGGGGCACGTCGATGGTAACCACAATCTCTTTGGGCCTGGGGCTCTGGGCAGAGTCTCTGGAACACCTGAAGTCCTGCAAATCGACGACAGATCGATATTTGACCGTGTAGTTTGGCTGGGTTGGCTCTTTGGTTTGTTGTTGTCGGGTCTGAAAGTTGAGTTGAGCATCGCCGGTTTTCTTTGGAAGTGTCTCTGCGGGCTTTCCCTCCGGCTGTTTTTCATCAGGGTAAGGGAAGGAGAGGGGGCCGGGCTGCTCGTGGGGCTTCTGGTATCCGGCGATGGGTTTTCGGATAACACAAGGCTGCGGGGTGCCTTTATATTTGGTCTTCATCTCTTTCACGTTTCTTTTATCCAGTGTCACTTTAAAGGCTTTCTGGATTCCTTGAATGGCTGTATCGTCAACCATATCCATAAATCTTTTGTTTCTGCTGGCTAGATGGAGCGTGTCAGGGTGATAAATAACATCATAAATCATGAATTTGTTCCCTTTGGGGTCTTCGTGTTGCCTCCCTGGATGCAGGGTATGAGGCAGGGACCAGTTCTGCCCTTTCCGCCCATCCTCTGACACAGCACACTTAACTTCAGGCTTACCGATTTTCTCATTGGAACAGATGTTGATGAAGCATTTCTGTTTGCCCCCCTCGCTCGTTTTGATGACCCTAAACGGTGTCGGGTGGATAAACTCGACGCTGTTTCCTCGGTCCTGCTCTAAGAGTTTGATCTCCTCCTCATAAATTCTCCTGTTCTCTGGGTCTGAAATTTCTTGGGCGTAGTCGCACAACATTTCCCTGAATTTCTTGTCTTTGAAAGCCTTGGTAAATTTGTCCATTTCATCCGCTGATAAGTTCAGGTCTTTTAGTTTATCTCCGAGCTCCATGCTGACGGTTTTGGGTTGGATTATTTTCGCGATCTGAGCATAAAAAAGTCCGCCTAAAAACACGAAAGGCTCAAAACTCTAAAATTGAAAATGTGATATTAAGGTAAGTTCAAGTTTATTTCCACGTTTTACTGAGTTTTAAACCCTGTTGTAAAGCAAGTAACGAAAGAAAATACTGAAGTCCAGTACGTTTGTTAGTGTAACTATAGCAACACAGGGGCTGCCGGTGCAGCAAAGAATTACTTCCCCCAATAGAATATTGCGAGTTTAAATCTGTTCATGTTTAAACAGTTCTTAGTTCTCAGCTAGTTGCCTGAATTAAAATTAATTGTCTATTAAATTATATTGTTATCACTTAAAAATAGTTAGGAATAACTTCAAAATATTATTTGATTAATTATTTTTCTAACTCAGAATAAAGCAGGATTTAACTGTTTTTAATGTATTAAACTGGTTTCTATTCCATTATATAATACTTTTTTACATTTTGACTTGCTTAATATACTGTCAACAATAGAAGAAAGTGGCCAAAAATCTATTAATATTCATGATTCATTAAATCCATTAAAATCCTGTGGTTATATACAGGATGAATAATGGATGAATAGTAACTTTACTTGTGTATTATTACATTGTACATTACATGATATGATTATATGATTAATGGTTGTACGACCAACACGTTAGCGTTTTCTTTTTCGTTATTACTGGCGTAATGACATGTTCGGGCCAGCAGGTGTCCCCCTAAACCACAGCTTTTGAGGCACGCGACCGGGTGTATGTCGGTCAGTAAGGCAAATGGGCGGGTGCGTGGAGGAGAACGCTGATTGGTCGCACCCCCCAACAGTTCATATTTCCCACAACCTGATTGGAAGGAGTGCTGTTACCGGGTATGAGGCCACTGATTATGAATCAGTGTATCTGAATGAGAGATATGGTTATCGGAATAATCTGTCATAGTCCCGCAGGGTGAGTCCAGGAAATGTCAAGTGCCAGTAAATATTTATATTCGTATTACACATGGGTAATTACAGATTAGAACAACCGAGCATTTCTCTCCTTCCGATTAATTATGTGGTCTATTTTGGCGGACTCAATTCTTTTTGTACCCGATAGATCTGAAATGATCTGTTCATTAACTCCCACAAAGGCAAACATCTTGTGCATCTCCTCGGATTCATGAGGCATTCTGGCCCTGATATAAGGAAGAGGACACAGTGTTCCCGGATGATCAGCTAAAAAGGCTTTTGTAACAAAAAAGGGAAAAAAATCATTCAGGCAGCAGGAAGCTTCCCACATGCTAGTAAGCACATTTGGAGGAACGGGAGAGTTTCAGCTGACCAAAGAAGGCGCTGGTAATGGGGGAGGTAGTGACGCACACAGGATGTGGGCAGACACCACTCACTGCTTCTCTGGATCACCCATATGGGAAAGATTGCTGACTCTACCTTGATTGAACTTTCTTTTGGATAAGATATTGGAAATCCCAACACAAAAAAGTGAGGAAAGAGTGAATCATTTAAACATTTTTATTACAAATATGATATTAAATAATATGAAAAGTTAGCCAGGCAGATATAATCAAGTTATAATCATAGTACTGATGAATAATATCCATATTTACATTGTTTGAGCATGTCATCCTTTTTTCCCCAAATATGACAAAAAAATGAAGTTCATGTCACAATAAACAATACATTCACACAGACATCAGTATCACCGCGAAGAAAAGGCGATGTGGGAGAGTCGGATAAAGTGAAATGTCTACGACAAAACTTCATACAAAGGCTTTGGCAAGAGTGCGTACATATCACCAAAAATGTCAAAGTAAACTACGAATCGTTTCAGGAGAAATACGTGTACAAATGAGCAGTAGAGCAGGAAGAGTTCAGTGCATGTTTCGTTTTACATTTCCGTGAGTAGGAGGGGAGCAGCTGTGTGCCTGGCCGCTCCCTCCGTCCCTCTTGTACACTGGGAGTGGGTGACATGGCAGCGGTCCGCGGCCTAATTGGAGCCAGCAGGTACCAGCATGCTCAGGGTGGCAATGCCTGGTTTAGAGGGTGGAGATTTACCGGCGGCCATTTTGCTGAGGTTGCGGACGTCAGCCTGCCAAGAGGGAATCTTCTTTGCCGTCATGTGCCGGCGGGCGTGTTTGGTTAGATGGTCGCTGCGCATGAAACGCCTGTCACACACCGGGCACACAAACTTCTTCTCCCCCGTGTGCGTGCGCCGGTGACGGGAGAGTTCGTCAGAGCGGGCGAACCTCTTGTCGCACCCGTCCCAGCTGCAGCTGAAGGGCTTCTCACCTACGGGAGGGGAAACAAGAGGGGGGAAACCGGGAATGAGTGAGTCACATTGTTGTCATATAAACTTCCTGACGCAAAACAATGACCTCACTGTCTCGTCAACGAGAAAACCGAGGCGGAGGAAAGACTTGTTTGACAAACACGACGCTCATCTGCCGCGGCCACATTCGTTCCACTTCCACTCATAATCACAAGCATTCACAGAATCCTCACCTGTGTGTGTGCGCAGGTGGGCTTTGAGGTGGGAGCTCTTGAAATAAGTCTTCCTGCAACCTGGGAAGCTGCAGACATAGTTCCTCCGGCGGGAAAAGTCTATCTTTGTGGCGGCCGGGCTGCCGCCGGGCCCTGCCGGCACGTAGACGGGGGCCGGGGCCAGAGGTAGCAGCTTGGTGTTGCCCAGCGTCATGACAGTCTGAGGGCAGTGGGACACCTGAGAGACGGAGGACTGAGGGAGGACCAGCATCACCGTCCCCTGGGGCACCGCCGAGCCCATAATGAGGGACGGCTGTACGGCCGGGCTGCTGGCTGAGGTGGGCTGGGGGAAGATGGGCGTGGTGGCAGTCCGGATTCCAGCGCCGGAGGCCTGAACCGCGCTGGGGATGAAGGCTGAGATTATACCCGATTGGCTGCTGACGGGGAACATCTGGCAGATTATTTGAGGGCTGGCGACCGGAGGAGGAGACAAGGCGGTGGAAACACCGGGACTGGGTGGGCTAATGTGTGGTTGGGTGTTGACAGAAGTGGGGGTGGGGGCACTGTCCAAACAGGGTTTTAAGGGGCTGCCAAGCTGCTCTGCTTCTGAGGGTGTGAGAGAGGCAGGAGGAGACGGAGGCGTGGCCGTGGGCTCGGGGTTTGGGATGCGCTCTTGCTGCTGCCGACAGGCTGTTGTATCTGACCGTACGGCTGTGGTTTTCTCCGGATTGGGGGCCACTGGAATGTGTTGTTGGCAGGGGTTCCTGTCTGCTGTGTGGCGGATGACGCTGGTCACCATGGCTCTACAGGGCTGTGGCGGAGAAGGGAGGGCGGGGGTCTTTTTAGCCTGGCCATGTTGATGGGGCCCCGCTCCGCCGGGCTGTGCGCACACTGTTGGGCTGGGCTGGGCCCCGGCACTCGCAGGGTTCTCAGCAAAACTGGGGCTGTGAGGTGGAGTCATGCACTGCAAAGAGACGGTTAAATAATTGAAGTGTTTCCCAGCACTAGTGCAATAAATTCAACAAAGATAAGCATCCCAGTTGGCAACCACATGAACGCTGCATAATTATCAGTCTGAGCTATAAACAAGAATTTCGATGACTCTGCACCAGCAAGAAAAAGCCCTATCTGAAGGTCAGCTGCCGTAGACTATTAAGGCTTTTGCAGCGGCATCGCCTCTTTCCTGCTTCAATCTCATGTCATAAACCCAGGGGGTCACGCCAAACTTACCTCACATAGTTATGTTTACCAATTAAACGCAAGCGACTTCTAAGGTTTTACAACTCATAACTTATGATGGCGTCTTACCAAAGAGGAGAGGGACACAAAGTCCCTGGGGGGCTCCGGAGGCTCCGGCAGCGGGAGGGAGTCGCAGGAGTCCGAGGCCGGGGTGAGGGGCCGGGGCTTGCACGGGTTGGGCTTGCTGCCGCCCAGGAAGAAAGCCTGGCCCCAAGAGCTCATGCACACCAGGGCCTCGGCCGCCTCCAGATCGGTGTACTCCAGGCCAGGGGAGCAGCTGCTGGTCCCACTACAGACAGACTGCTCGCTGTCATGTCGTCTTCTCTTCGGGTAAGACCCACACTGATCCATATGTTCAGTCTAAGGGGAACAAAGGAGAGCAGAGAGTTTTTTTTTAAACACGTTTTTAAGTGGAGACAGGACCAAACTGTTCCTGCTATTTTGAGTCTTTCAACTTGAGTTGACTAAGATTTTTTTTTTAATTGAACCGGTGCAAGGCGGTTCTATTTCCAGTCATATGTGCTGGGTCACCCTTCCTGTAGCCCGGGTTCCCGGGGCCAGGCCGCATGCTGCTGCCAGCAGAGGGGGGGTGTTGGTGGACTACACCCCAGCCCAGCACGCACCGCCTCTGGCCCAGGGCCAGGACGCCTCCCCTTCCCAAATATAGACCAAACAGTGACGTGCTGCGAGATGAGCCATGTGAAATCCCCATAAAGCGGTTTGCATCAGGAAGTGGCCCGGGTAACGTTACAACTTTGCTGTGTTTTTTTGTTGTTTTTTTTACAACAAACAAAAGTATTTAAATCATTATTCCCCGAAACGCCACGACACTCATCAAGTTGTGGACTCTGGCAGCCATATTTAGATGTTTCATTTACTGTAATACATTTGTCGCTTAGAGGTGAACAATAAACAATCAAACCCCATCGGTAGAAGGTTATAATGAACGTGTTTTTTTTGTGAAAAAATAGCTTAAAAAGGAAAAACGTTAACGTCACGCAAAAATCAAACTGGGAAACTTTTAACACGAAAATTGCGTTTAGCTTTTGGTTTTTAAGTACTTCAACGTCATGCCAGGCAGTAAACAAGTAAACAACACATATCGGAAAGGAAAACAGACGTTGATGTAAGCTGGAGAAAGACTTTTTCAAAATTGTCTTACCGCGTGTGGGTCCATTTCTTTTAATTTTCGTGATGGCATTCAAAGGGAAAATGTTAAAACACAGTTTTGTTGCCAAAGCCGGTGCTGAACAAAGAGACGGCGGTTGCCAGACTGCTGCCTGTTCGGTTAGAGGGGTTGAGACGGTCTCTTTCTTTGACTGGCTCCCTTTTTCTCTCAGCTGTGTGAGTAAAACATGGGGAGGAGAGAGAGGCGAGGAGGGGGGGGGGCGAAGAAAAACAAAACTCACAACACGCAGTGGCGGGTGGCAACACTTGGCCAATCACAATCGAGTGTGTGCAGAGTTTGGACCAATGGGAGGCAAGTGAGCGCATGAACAATGCGTGCTCGCAGAGCGGTTGGAGGAAATAGGGTGCGTGGCCGTTGATGGGCGTGGCCACCGGAGTCAGCAGTGTCAGGATAAACCCGATGAACCGCCAGCCTCCAAACTAGGCGAAAGGTCGATCCGGTCTATGCTGCCTTCACAGACTGTGTGAATAACACGTAAAAACGGCTTCACACCCCGGAGGCTGGCGTCATGTTGTATAAGGCACGTAATAAGAGATTTCTATTTCAAGGAACGTGTGTTGCTAAATCATTGAGGATTTTTATTTCAGCTAAGCTGTCGCTTGTTCGGAATTCCACCAAATAGATTAGACAATAGACAGAGGGCAGTTTTGATAAATGCTAATTCTGCATGAACTAGATAAACTAATCATACAGTGCTATTTCGACTAAACTTTGAGGGTGCTTTGAATGTACGTATTTATAACAATTCCAAAATAGATTAAAAAAAATTTTTAAAGCCCACGACGGAATATTTCTTCGTAATTAGTTATTTATTTTCATTTTTCTTACTGATCGACGTGAATTAGATATTGTGTTTTATTTAAATAATCCACACATTTGAGGAAACGTAAAAGATCAATGCAAGTGAACGTTTATCCATTGTAGTTCATCTTCCTGGATAAACTGGCCTCCGTTCGACCTACCTTTCCAAAGTCTATTGAATGCAACACTAGTCCAAGACGAGGCGCGCAATTTTCTAGAAGACGTTTCCTGTCTTCTTATTTAAGAGAACAACAAAAAAACACCTTTAGCAAATGCGTAGCTATCAAAACGTTCACAATACATGGATTCACATTCAATCGTCTACAAAAAGGCTACAGTGTTTAATTTTAGGCACGTTACCGAGTTCAAAATGTGTGTGCCTTCACATTATTCAAACCACGTGATTTATTTTCTTAACAAATTTAATTTATGCTATAAGGTATATTTTATGAGCTTAATCCCGCATGCACATGGCAGAGAATTCAGATTTGTCTTGACCTAGATATACTGTTACATCATAATCTGCATGTGAACTAAGAAAAAATATGTCATAAGATTTTCAACTTTAGAGATAGTTTTATACTTGTTTAGAGACATTTTCATCCAGCCTAATGAAGATACCTAAAGATGGTGACAATATTGTCCCAAAGGGGATGACTGAGTTTGCTCAGACCCATATTGTTTCTTATTTTACTCCTGGTGTTACACATAAAGAAACCGGGTGACGCTTTTGATCTTTTCTTAGGGTTTAACTTGTTTGTGAGCGGCTTCCCTGCTGCAGAGGGGGGTGTGGCGGGTGTGGCGGCTGAACCCTGGCCGCTGCCCGTCTGTTAGGAAAGGCCGTACCTTGATATGCCTCACGTAAGCGTGACCTCAGGGGGAATTGAGAGCTGTGAGCCGGGGCAGTGCAGTTTCAGTGCCAGCTGCTTAGGAGACCAGAGGCAACGAGGGAGGAGCCAGTGGGAAAAACCAGTTAGCACACAGGCATGACGGGCAGCCGGGCCCACGGACAGCGGCCTGTTTGTGAGAGAAGTGGGGCAGTCGACTTTTTCACTGAATGTAGAGGAAAGGTTATACTGGCCCTATCTGGGCCCCTGTTTTGACACCTCCCCTGTCCGGTCAACTCCCCCAACTCAGGAACTCCAGGAGTCACAGAGGGGGTGGGGAGTAGTCCCAGTGAGGTTAAATATATTCTCCTGGGGCAGAGATGGACTCACCCCCAGAGCTCTGACAGCCAGCCACAGGCAGGGGCCACACCTAATCGAGAAGTTAAACGTAGCATCTTTGGTCAAACATGCAAAGGAACACCTTTTCTTATTTAAAAGAGATGTTTTTTTGCTGTTTAACGAAACAGAAAGTCTTATTTACCCAAATGATATTTACCCTATGAACTTCACAGTGTGTTTGAAAGGGCTTTAAATCCATTTAACAGTGTAGTTATCTTGATCTGAAAGCCCATATGCGTGCTATTTCTGCCAAACTGAGGTAGGTTATCTCACACGTAACTGCTTGAATATGGTGATTTCTTAATTGTATGTGAATGCTTTTCCGTGAGTTTCCGTTTTGTTTGGATGAAATGCAGGCATACGATAGATTTTGCACATTCCGTTTTAAGGTAAACCTGCAATCCCTGGCTGTTGCAGATCACATTTATTTCCTTGCTGCGTCTCCCAGCATGCAGCCATCTGGATCAGAGGACATGGCAACGAAAGGCTGTGAGCAGCAGAGAGCCTTTTACAGGAGCGCTGCAGCACAAACTGTGTCCTTTCTCTACTTCTTCTTCTTTTAAAATGAAAATGTCCTTCTTGTTTTTTGATAAATCTGTTTATAAAGCTGACAAGAACACATACTGAAACTAATCTCCAACATTTTCTATTTAAAAAATAAAAGGTATTGATGCTATTCTTGCATTAATTTGTGATTGTCTGTATTTAGTTTGACACATAGATAATAAAAAAAAAAACCTCACAAAGCACAGAGAAAACAAGTGAGTATAGAAATGTGCTGACTTGAGGTTTTACACTTTCATGAAAGGCCTCAGGCAGGGAGACTAGTTTATTCATGTAGACTATTGTTTTTCTCTGTTTTCAGTCAAAACATGAAGTAAAATCGTATGTATACAACAGATGGACTTGATAAAGACAAAAGGGCTGTTGTGAAAGTATTTTGAAATGAACAAAAATGACGATAAAGATAAGTTGATTACATACAATAGAAGAAGTACTGTTTCAAGTTTTAAACCCATTTCTGGTGTGCATTTAAAACAATAGGCCACACATGACCTGTAGTGGGAACCATCTCTGAAAGTCAATTTGCACTGAAGGATGCTTTGTGTACCACGCTACACGTGACTCCACCCCCTCTCCTCCTACACACCAGTACCAGCAACAACAGGGATTTCTCTTCAAGCACACAGCTTCTGATTGGTCAGAGCGGGATACTAAAGCCAATCTGTTGCTATGAGAGACTGACTTGTGTGCTGCGAGCTCGCTGTCTGTTGTCCTGGCAACATGAGGAACAGGAGGTTGGTTTGAGGGCTCCCTGGAGGAGCTTCCCTGGAGACAGTCTGACGATGTGTGAAGTCTAATGATCAAGGCTTAGCGATATCATTAAAGGGTGCACTTTGAATAATATCCTGTCTGTTGGCACAGTGATTTTGTTCTGCAATCGTTTGCCATTTCAGTTCGTGCTGTTCCATTCTTTTAAGCATCACATTTAGAGTATGCTTAGCAGATGAGCCCAGACTTAAATCTACTCCTGGTTTCATTATCTGCAAACTGAATCATAGAGGCACAAGAAGTGCAGAGTAAAGAGAATATATAAGGGTTTTTTTTACCTCCCAAAATGTTCTGTCAAAAATGTATCAGTTATACAACACAGAGATTCGTGACAGTTGAAATTATCTTTATAAAATGTAGAATTTAGTGTAGGAAACGATATGATGTATGTCCCAGTGCTTTCTTTTTAAGACTTCATTGTTAATATTCTTAATGTTTTTGTAATCATCTCCAAATTTAAGCCACCAAAACTGATTTATAATTGCTGTACTCCACAAGCTTCACAGCTGGTGTGTGTGGTTCCATAAAGTAAGAAATTGTCCAAATGACACTGAACTGAGGAATAAAAACAACCAACACATGGACATCGACGAAAGGAAATCGGCTTTGTTGTTCAAGAATGATTTTTCATCCTCATGAAAATCTGGCACCAATGATTCATAAGAGTTTTGTCTGCTGGTGATTCATGTCATTTTAATTTTTTGCTTGGTCAGATATGATTGTTTCCTTTTACAATATGTGTCAGAAAAGTGGGAGTAGACATTTTTAATGTTTGACCATTTTTACTGCACAGTAGTGGGACAAATACCAAGAGTCTGCAGACCTCCATGAAAACTATAGGGAGAGACCAAGATGAATGCAAAGTGTAAAAAAATAAAAATGTCAAGATTTTTGAGGCATCTGTAAAATCATAACAGATTGGACTCTATTGGACGTAAATGGTTGCTTTTCTGCCTGACTAACTGAAGGGTTCCAAGAGAAATAAAAAAGTTTACAGCCTGAAACTGAACATTTTGTTTGCATTGCTAATTTACATTTATAACAATCAAGTATCCTTTTACAATTCAACACCAAAAACTACTTGTAGGCTCAAAGACCAGTGAGTGCAAAGATTACCAATCAGCGATGGTTTCCTGTCTTCATGTTTAAGATTCATTCCTCTGTCCCAGTTTCCAACAATCGAAGAACAAATTTCAAACTACAGACTTCAAACTACTTAATCTTGTCATGGTTTCTATATCTTACAGTCAATGGATACATTGAGAGTCAAGCACAAATTAGGGCTATACCAGCATCTTTTCACATAAAAAGAGATCTATTTTAGAAGGCCAATACAGTTGTTGGTGTTCCTTGATTAGGAAAAGTTTGGCATGAGAATCATCTGAAGAGCATCAAGGAGGAACTGACTCAGCACCAGTATGCTACAAGCAGCATTGCCATCCTGGTACAAAGCAACCATGGAAGAGTGTCACGGCTTCTTCACGGTGATCACAAGAAGCTGCCTGAGGAAAGGCTGAATCAGCATCACTCCATCAGTTCTGACTGACCAACAAATCCAAAGTATTTCTCTTTTTGCAGACTGAAAGCACACGCTGCAGCCAAGACAAGTGTCTGAATTTCTCTGTGTGGCCAAACCCAAAATATCAGCTTAATCCTCATGGGAATCTGTGGAAAGACCAGAGGACAGAGGCTCACATGTTCTTACAACAGACTCAAGAAGTCTTGGATGAGACTATTTTTGCAAATGAGAGGCGTTACCTTAGAATTGTTAAAACCTTTTACATTTAAACGTAATGTAAATTATTCAAAACTGTGTCTTAAATAATGTCTATAATCAAATGACGTATTAACAGAAGCCGCATCCTGACACCAACTTTGGCTTCAAAGGAAGAAACAAAATAAAAGAATGAAAAGAGAGAATGACAGATCAAACAAAAAGGAGAGAACAGATGGCAGATGACACTGGAGGCATGACTGCATTGCCAGGTTGACGTGGCCGGTTGGTTAAAATCTAACTAAATGAGATTTTCCTCTCTGTCCACTCACCTGAACGCAGAGATTGTGTTATCATTTATGGTGGTGCGCGCCGAGCCATCAGGCAAATAGATGCTATAAACGGTGTCTCATGAAGAATCGCCTTTCTCCTTTTATTATCCAGTCAAACACATAAAGCATTACAAAACAATCATTTTACTATGACTATCTCATAATTTGTGAGGAAATACTAGCGTATAACATCCACAAGGACCCTAGATAGTGCTCTTAGGTTTGAAATCAAGAAGCATCCTTCGGATTGGAGACAGCTGTCTCCAAAATGTTGACTATCTCTCATAAAAAGCCCATAACCCAATACTATAATGGATCAGTGGTTGGATATGGTGGAAAAATTATATTTCATGGAGAAATTCACTTTGTAAGAATTAGTGTGGAGAACCCTGATGGGCCCTTAAAAGATTCAAATGCCCCCAATGATATTACATTTATATTTGATGATGGTATTTGGTTGTTTTTGCATGGTTTAGTCTCCATGTTTCCAGTAGAGACGCTTTCTTTTTTGTCCATGTGACCAAAAAAATAATAATTTTACTTTTCTTGTTGGCATGACAATGGCACAAAACTCACTCCAGTCATTTGTACCTGCTCACACTTCAGTTTATAAAAAACTGAAGTGTTTATAAAAATGGATGTTAAAGACAACAGACTATGTTTTAATTCGCTGCAGTGTCATGTGACTTGTGGCCACGGCTCAGGTGGTGTATCAGAGTATCCACTAGTGGCAGACAGATATTTGAATGCGTCACGGTGTGATTAAAGTCAAAACTCAGGCACAAGTCAAGCTTCTCCTGTAGCAGCTGGGCTGCACCTTGTGTGGCTATTTCCCACTTTAGAAACATTTGTATTACTTCACCTGATGTAGTTCATGTTTCCTGGGTCCCTTTTGGGTTTTTTTCTAGTTCTGTATTTTCAGTTGTACATTCATGATGTCATGATGATTTCATGACACAGACTACAAGTGAGGGCCGGACATCTGATAGACCCAGAGTTATCTGATTAAACCATACATCCATGAAGCTTCTTTAACTATTATGAGATGGACTCTAGAAATTTTGTAGACATACGTAAGTGGGTAATTTCTTGAAAATTTGGGAAATGCGTAAAAAAAAATTAGGAACAACAAGCCTCCAAGCTCAAAGTGGCAGCTTACAAGCTTTTATTGGGGCACTTTTTGCATGAAATCCTTTACAAAATAGAAACAGGACAATCATTAAAACATTTAACCTTTCTGTCCCTTGACATGTAATTTTTAAAATAACTTCATATAAAAGGGAAAAAGACATTATATTATGGATAGAAAATTGGTTACATATGCAATTACCCACATCCATTCTCTTAATAAATATATACACAATAAGTACTGAGAAAACATAAAGGATTTCAGAGATCCTCTTTTTCAATTAATATATACACAAAATTTTCCATGACTAAAATCTGAATGTTTTCTATACTGTTTTTTATGGCGTTTGAGTAGAATTATGCTCTTAATGTGCTTGAGCCCCAATATTATTGCACGTTGGATATTATTTGACCTATTTCATCAACATTCAGAAAACATCTCTACAGAAGATGGGTATCTGTATTTACCAATGTTACCATTATCAACTATGTAATACTTACAGAGAGGCTCTTATTCAAATTCACTAAAGGGAAAACATCCTTATAGGCACATTATTTTTAGAAAAAGAAGTGTATACTATTCTAAAGAAAACGTACCAACATTTACAGTGTTCTGTCTTGTGGTGATATTCCAAATACTGCCATATTGTTTAGAATTAATACACTGAACCACTAAGGCCCTGAAAATTTGCCGTCTATTCTTGTGTGCGAAATATTCAACTTTGCAGACTGCGGGCGTCTATGGCTTTGTGAGGGGAAAGAATTTCTCGCAGAATAAAATACAAACCCTGCTGCTTGCATAGCTTGAGGTATAGCAGCGTTACTGCTGCTCTGCAAACCTGAACTAGTATGTACAAAAGTAGGCACTGATAACTGAGGTGCAGCAGAAATTCGCTCTAAATACAAAAAAGTCACGACCGTCAAACAGTTGCCTCACCTCTTAATTCTTATACACAAAAAAAAAGCTTTACAATTAATCACATGTATAACTTATGTCTCTAACCAGCATCTTCGCCTGTTAGGAGCTCTGACTTTTAAACATCGCTTTGTGGACATGATCTTAAAGAGTAGTTTGACAAAACAACAACAACAAAAAAAGAGAAGGACATGATCTAAGTTTCAGTTCAAGTCCATAATCACTGTGTAGCCAGAAGTGTAAACCTGAAGCCTGTTTATCCTCCCCTGATGCTCAGGATCACCAGGTCAGATCTCAGTGAGGGTCAGTTTGAACATGCCGCCCAGCTCCTCCATGCTGATCTGGAAGGTGTCCTCATTCGAGTAGTGTTTGATGATGTTGTCGTCCATGTGGACCAAAATACTGCGATCACAAAAGTGCTTATTTAATTGTTGCCCTCCAAAAACGCTTTTATACAATTGAGATTATGCATGGAGGAAACATTTTGCTGTCTCTGATAAACAAATTGCAGTAGTTTTGGTAAAGTCGTCCCACCGTACGTGGTCATTCTTACGGTAATTGTGCCGTTTTGACAGAACTTAAATCGGCCTGGCAAAATGTTGCTGTTTCACTATAATAGCTCAGTGTTCCAGACCAGTAATTCTGAAGCTGTACGTGTCAACCCAAAAACCTTTAGTCCGTTTAGCTTGTGTCGGTCTGTTCACACGGCTCATACAACTTATTCACCACCACATGGCAAGACTGACCGCTGACTGGACGATTAACTCCAAATTCAGCAAACATTACTCATTGTGATAATTTTGTGCTTAATATCCCTGTTGGTGGAAAAGATTCAGATGCAATCTGGTGAAAGTAAATTTCAGCCGAGCCAAGTCAGGAGGACATTCATAAATGGGTTTTGAATTGTTCCCGGACAAAGAGTTCATATTCCTCTGGATTTCTGGACATCTATCGCTCAGTGTTTCCGGCACTGCATGAGATACATTTAATGAAAGACTCACCCCTTCTTGCATTTCTTGTAGACCTTTTCAACTTTATCCAAAGGCAGGTCATACTTCTCTGAAATCTGGTTGAGAATAAAGAATATGTCATTGTTTAAGTCTTATCACATTCATTACATTGTTATTCTAGGATGTAAAAAACTATTCTAAAACCCAGTAATTAAACTCAGATTGCCCTTTTAAAATCTGTTGACATTTGAGAAACCAAGAACAAGCACTTATTGAGTCTATGCCGTCACAGAAAGCCCTCATATCTCCTAAACAAAGTTGCTTTACTAAATGGCTGCTCATAAGCCCTCTGCCCTTTTCTCTTTTAACTTGATAACCTAAAATGTGACCCCTTTGCCATTTAGACCTTTTGTCCCACGATGCTCTACGAACTTTCCTTTTCTACTTTCAAAAACATTTGCCCCATACCTCCTTCGACGGGCACCTTTTGCCCCCTCTCTTGACTCTACAGTCCCCCCTGTGCCCCACCTAAAACAACTTTCGACTTTCCCCAGTGCGCTCCTGTCCCTGTCACACTTCATTTAGCCTCACACAGCTGCTCAGACACAGAGAGAGGGCTGTGCCACAAGCCTCTGTGTGCAAAATTTGTAACACCGACACATAAAGTCCACAACACCGAGCACAACTCACAGCTTCCACCAGGCCTTTCAGCGTGGGATTCTTCAGCATGAGGGCATCAAACACCTCCTCTGTTTCCTTGCGCACGTACAGCAGGACTGTGTGGTAGTTAAAAAAAAGAAAAGAAAAAGAAAGCAGGCGTTAAAGCAAGACAAGCCAACACGATCTGACTTAAGGCAGTTTAACTACTTCTGTGATTCATTTGTGGAGGCTCATACCTACTACCTTATGTATATATATATATATACAATATATTTTTCTTTAAATAATAAACCATTTGCCCAAAATGGGTGTTTATAGAGCCACCCAATATTTGTAAGAAACTCCAGAGAACTAGTTGATGTTTACTGACTGTTTTGGATTGCACCTGATTAGGGTCAATCATTTTTTATGGCTCAACAGCAAACTTAAAACCTGCAGGCAAACTTATCTTGTCAAGCATATCTGGGCTCTGGGAAGTTTTTGACTGCACGCTGCTGGTTGAAAAAGGTGAAGGTTTGCTCCTTAAAGCTTTTCTCTTTTTTTGTAACTGTATATGCCTCTGTAATAGCTATAAAAGTCTGCTGTTTGCCTATGAATAGCATACAGAGGAAAGGGCACGAGCCTGTTTACGTGTACGTATGGACTTAGTGATCAGTGGTATTTGTTGGGTCAGTGGAGGCCTCAGGCACGTGTGTGTGTGTGTTTTGAAAGACCTGGAATAATCACATGGCCCAGGGAGTACATATCTGTGTGTGTGTGTGTGTGTGTGTGTGTGTGTGTGTGGGAGGGAGGGTAGTTGAGAGGCCCGTTTGCACACACATGCACATTCATCTGCAAACACTTCAGCAGTTTGATTTAGCCCCAGAGAAGAGCATCATTCAAAGTTTAACATTCCACAACAACAACACAAATGTATTACCTTTCTTTGGCTCGTCCACTCTCGCCATCTTGTTCGGTGGAGAACCAAACTCATCATCACTGAAGGGTAATCTCCTCATGCCTGAGCTGCTGTAAGATAACACAATCACAACATGCAGAGCACTGGTTAAATGGCTGTAACATGTAACAGGCTTTTGACAGGTCATTAAACATAAGCGCACATGCCACTCAAAGCCCACAAGCATTTCCTAGAAACTGCAAATGCACATCTGTATGGGTTTTACTGGGAAGGGGGTCAAAGGTGGTCTCAGTTACAAACTACTGTCAAGCATGTGTGAAAGAAGCAAACTCACCTGTCTTCTCCATCTTCTGCAGAGAAGGGCTGAAAGTAAACAGAGAGGCAGATCGTCACTCAACTGGAAACATAGAACTTCCATTGCACGTAAGTGTTTTTTTTTTTTTACAGTACTGAGGTGGTAATCCTTCATAGCTGCAGCTAAATCAGTCAACTAGGTGAAAGGCAAAGTAAACAGCGAAGTCTAAATGGTTTCCTGTGTTGACCCATTTACTTTTCTTTTATCTCTATCACTGGCAAACAATAGATAAATGTGTAAAGCAACACTTGTGGTGCAGGACACACAGCGGAAAGCAGATCTCCATCCTTACTGGAAGAATTAGATTGATTTTTAAATCACCAGGCTGCAGCTGTCAAACTTAATTAATTAGAAATAGAAAACACTTTTATTCAAGATTATTTGAGTTGGCATGAGAGTGTGAAAATTTCCATTTGGTTTGAAATAAACCAACACAATAACTTCAGATAAATCTTAAAAAAGATTATCATGACCACATGTTAAAAATATTTTAAGCAGTGGTCTTTTGCATTTTGGGTTGAAATGACGATTAATGAAAATGATTTAAAAAAATCTACATTTAAAAACTATTAGTGTGAACCTTTTGAACCGCATCGATTGCAGACAGCGCTGATAAATTTCTATTCTGAGAGCAAAGTCAGTAAACTCAGTTTATCAGAAACAGAGTGGACGACCTAAGTCAAGTTCAGTGTTATTGGCATCACCAAAAATAGCCCACTGTCCCTTCATCAGCCTTGACAGTAGAAAAGCAAACTTTATGAGAGATAAAAGTGAAAAAAAGAGAAAAAACATATCAGTCATTTGGACTCAGGTAGGCCTGCCTACAATCTAACCAGCAACGAGTTGTCACAAGTTTTTAAGATTTCAAAACTCCTAACAGGACAAAGAAAAAACTATCTATGTGGAGTCAGTTTGAACTTGCAGTCAAATTTAAAACACGCCAAAAAAACCAACTGAAAAATCAAACAATTTTATAGTGCTGTTTAGGAGGGTTTGTGCAAACACACACACACACACATGTAAGTGGCGTGTGTCGCGCTCATCCCGTACGTGACATGTGAAGTGTTCGTGCTGGCTGCTGGAAGCAAAGCTCAGAGTCCAACGCAGGGAAAGAACACACTGCTGCTAGTAAAAACTGATAAAAACCCGACAAAGCACACGCATGCCCCCAGCCTCTGAACACAGAACATCTGCATTTCTGCTTATTTCTGCCTCGCTCGTTTCTGAAATGCCGCGCATCCGCGCAGAGATAAGAAAGCTGGGTTAGCTTCCCTGTCTTAAAGTCTGCACAAAAAATCTAAAAAAAAGAACATTAGGCTGGTTGTATGGGAGTTGTGCTCTTCACCTCCAGTTTGTTTGGAGTCACTGGTGAGTGAGTCATCATGTGAGTAAGCAGTCTGAAACCCTGCCATGAGTTTTGTAGGACTCATATCAGAAGCTGGAAACCAGCACTATCTGTTCCTGCCAACTAACAGGTCACCTCGACCCAGCAGGCAGATGGGTGGGTAGAAGCTGAAAAACAAACTGTTTACGGACCACCTAAGATTTCTACGAATGGCACAAAGATGTAGAGCCCATTCGTGTTTATCTTTGGAGGCAAAGTGGAAGGCAGGTTGTTCCGTGCTAGCCTAAACAGGATTAAGAGTTTTGTGTCTGGAACCGGTGCTTACATGGCGCTGGAAGTTAGCAAAGTGGATGTCAGGGATGAATAGGACGGGCTGCGTCTCCAGGTCGGTCATCATCTTAAAGATGGTCATGTCGTTGCGCTTCTGGAGGATGGGTACTTTCACATCTGGGACTGAGACAGAAAGGTGTGAAATAATGTTTGATAAGTAATAAAGACAAAGTTTTCAAGCCTGTACACAGACGTTAGTGTCAGCCCAGTAAACTGTACAGATCACGCCAAATACCATTACCTATAACTTTGTTTCAGCTAAAATCTTTATCTTTATGGACGCTTGGCATATCTAGATAGTTATGCCAAGGATTTGGTTTCTGCTTACTCCTGCCTGTAATAACTGGCCCTTTACTTGCTGAAGGCTTCTCTCTGCTTAGGCTTGTTTCTAACTCCATCTATTGGCAGTTTGGTTCAGGACAGGTTGCCTTCTGAGGGTCCATTCATTCATTCCTTTTTTTTTTTTTTTGCTGAAAAATACTGAGTGTTATTTGTTAAATTGTTTCTAAGTTGTCACTTGATCAAACGTTCAAATATTCATTGCATGTTTAGAACATACAAAATCATTTAGAAGCCAGTTAACACCAGTCCTCCTTTTACAGGGTTACCGGGTGCATATTCATATTGTATTCCTGGGTGGGTTGCAATAAACTTGAAAGTAGTCAGCTTTACAGGAGTTATAGTGACTCACAGTTCATGCCGGGGTTGAGGTCAGGCATCTTTCCTTTTCGGCGGGACTGTTTCCTCTCCTCATCTCGGATCTTCCTCTCGGCTCCCTTGTCGCAGAAGACTTTGATCTGGCAGTAGGCGCGGTGGATGGGTTTGTTGCTGCGGTTGTTGTAACTGTAGGTGTCGATCTGCAGGTTGAGGGGAAGGCCCTTCACCCCCTTCTGAGAGGAAAAGTCTGTGCTCAGGCAGTTGACAGAGATGAAGATCTGCGAACAGATTGTAGGAGCATAGGCACGTTTTTAGACATGATTCTACACAGCGTTTTTTTATTCATTTCATAACTCTACCAATTAATTTCACAATCTCTGCAGGCCTCCTGCTGAAGGTGCTTCCCTACTTGGTCCTATGTTCTGTGTCTCCCTCTATTGGATGACTTTGGCAAAATCATCCAAGCTTGGGCTTCTTTGTTCTCCCTGTGCTTGCACTGAAAACAGGTTCTCATTGTGTCAACAAAGTCAGTACTAACAGGAGGTGCAAAAACAGCTAGCAGAAACAACCCAAGGGGGTAGGCAGCTGCGACTAAGATTTTACACTTCATTGAAGAAAAATGGAAAAATCTCACTGTACTGTTGCCTTTCAGCTTGAATAAAAAACATAAAATGGTAACTTCTCATATTCTTAAGTGTATTCGTTAAAATAATTTTAAAAAAAAACATCCATAAAAACAATGTATAGGCTCTGTAGTCCTTTGCATTTTAGGGTTGAAGACTTGGATACATCATTCCTACTTTGGAGTATATAAAACATAAGAGATGTGGAGTTTAAAGATGATGAACAAAGACAGAAAACGGAGGGGAAAAAACCACAGGAGGGTCTGCCCTTTGCAAATACGCCACAAAAGCATGTATGTATAATTTCAAACCCTGAGGGTAGACCACATGTATACATACTTGCTCTCCTCACACACACATTAGTGTGTCTCGCCTTACTTCAGCATCACCATAAAAACGGCATATTCACCCCCCCCCACACAATTCAACCATAAGCCTGCAATCTCCTGAAAGCGAGCAGCACCTGAAATGTGTCCATGTACACTCACAAAGGTATCTTCACCTGTAATCTAACACCTTATTGATCAGCCGCTCAAACATCGTGACAGCAGGGTGTCGACACGCGTGACGAGCTAATGAAAACACACAAGGATGAACATCCTATAGACACAGGCCTCGAGGAGAAAGACATCCTGGTGTGAGCTGAAGAGGTCTGGACATGTGACACGTGTTTGCCTCAGAAAGGAGCTGCAGGTGGAAGGAGATGGGCGGCAGGAGGAGAGTGGAGACTCTGAGACCAGCAACGACGGTTTTAAGAACCAGTAGAGAGGCAATCAAGGACAGGGACCTCTCCTTCCCCTCACCTCTCCAACAGGTCCAACAGGATTTTATTTGTTAACTGTCCAATCTTGTCCTCATACCCCCCGCTGAGTTTCCTCATTCCTGCCCCACGTCGGGTGTGCAGAAATGCCGTAATGCACAGTTTGACAATGGGGACGACTGGTAGTTTGGAGCAGCAAAGAATGCGAGAGCACAGGAAACTCACACAAATATCTTTGTTTCTACACAACCAGGAGGCCCGGCAAGGCAAAACCCTCACTATTTTCATTCAGCCACTGTTTTGTAGGATCTCAGCGAACAAAGTGATCGCAGACAAAGGAGGGAAGGCCCTGAAAGTGGAATCGTCTCTCACACACTTACAGCACATAGCAAATATTTTTAGTTAAAAACAACTTAAGCAGGCTCATAATCCAAATTTAGAACAATGAAAGTTCCTGGTAACTGTGGATCACCGGTGACCCTGTGAGCCAACACGACCTGTTTTCACATGAACACAGATGACCAAACAGCAGCCCTCATGTGTGGAGTTTGTTTAAAGGAAAATACGAGGTCATGAGTGCGGGCGAGCAAATGTTTCTCAGTGTCTTACTTTGGCCTCCTCATTTGTGTCCCAGGTGAAGGAAATGCCGTTGTAGGAAATCTCTTCAATATTCCCGATGGTGTTGAAGCTCTCCTTGTAGTCAGCTAGAGAAACGTATATCAGTTTATTGATAGTCTGAGCCACAACGTGATGTAAAAACAAAAGTAGCAAAGTAGAAAAAAAATACAAATCAAGTAATAAAATCTCTTTTGCTCCTTTCACCTATAAACTCTGACTTTTGATTGGCTAACTTTTAAGTCTTCAAAAGTATGGGAACAAAAATTAAAACACACATATCTATCTATCTATCTATCTATCTATCTATCTATCTATCTATCTAT